GCAACTCTGCACAGCGAATCGCGGCGCCTTAGACGACTGCCCCCCCCCCCCCCGTGTCCCCCTCACTGGTCATGTAATGTGAGCCCTTGTCAGTGGGAACAAATACAAACTCTTCATATAGGGAGGGTGGCTTTGCTTGTCGTAAGGGGCGAATAACGGCTCGCCGACTTTGTTGATGCATGTCATCGTATCCCAGTTGCGTGGATCGATGCTTATGCCACCAGTCACTGGATTGTCTGGTCCAGACACGATTATTTCAGACCGCCGGAATATTACTGAGTGCGGCGTTAAACAACAAACAAACAAACAAACAAAATATAGTGGGGCGGTTAAGGCTGGATTTTAGTAACAATTGTGCACTTTGGGTTAAAAGCACCAAACTTGGCACACTTATACATTGAAACATTCCGAACATTTCTGGATATGGATTCACCTCAGCAGCGCCACCTGGTGGTAGAAAATCCAAGATGGCCGCCAAAATAGTTCAAATCTCTTATGACGTCAATTTATATTCAATATATCATCATTACTTTGTCAATTTCAGTCATTTATATAAAATTAACTGCGTCAATGTTGTATATAATTCAAATCTAATATGCATGCAGTGCCGTCTGGTGGCGAAGGAAATCTACATAATTGTATACGCCAATGTATACGCTCATGTATGGTATGTAATATAATATTTGATTTGGCAACCTTTAAATATGTAGTCTTTGCTTTGGCGATGGCCCCTTTTAATCCGGATTTAGCAATGAATAATAATAATGAAATAATGAATGTACATCGTTGTATACGCCCATGTATGATATGTAATATAATATTTGATTTGGCAACCTTTAAATATTTAGTTTTTGCTTTGGTGATGGCCCTTTTAATCCGGATTAAGTAAGGCATCAGCATGACGTCCCAGTAGGGTATTAATCAGCATTTCGTTGGTCACCGTCTTGCGAATAAACTCCAGGTTGGAGCAGCTCATCAGCCGGAATAGTGGGCAATACCAAGGGTACCTCTGCGCAGGTTAATCAAAAGTATGCCATCAAAGTGTCGTGTAGGTATCGTCCAACATGGCCGACCTACCAGATTTTGATTATCACGCCCGAAATGAATTCTGCACACATACATATATCGTCATACACCTTCACGAACACGTGAACTTCTCATATTTTCGGTCGGTAGTAAATTATAAAAATATCATGTACACGTTCTATATGTTCAGTTGGTTGGCTTGAGGGTGTGGTCGCTGTCGAAATGGAAATGTTCTAGAAATTGTTGGACAATTGTGAGTGTGAGTGTAGGTCACAATACTAGGTACCATGGGGACTTACGATACTTCAGCTACCTACATGGTAACAATGGCCAGCAGGATTTACACCATCACTTATGGACGAAGAATGACATCCATGTAACGCTGAGCCAAAGCTTGCATCCAAGCGATGGCGTGTATCTTATATTTAATTTAACTAAAGGGTGCATCAAAGCCAGGAATTGTCAAAACGAGCCTTCCTTTAAATATTTTAACATGGCCTACGTATAGTGTCACATATGTTTTATTTTATGTTCATTATTGTTGCATGCAGCTAAATTACCATGGCAACTGGGCATAGTACTTCTGTGACATAGGTCCGTTTGCTGCAAAATAGTTCAGATGAAATGCAACATAGATATAAATCTGAAAGCAACAATTCGTCTTAAATGGCATGCAAGTTATTTAATTGTCCTTACCAACTAAGACATTGTCATGAAGAAGTTCAGAGTTGCTTCGCTTGGGCATGTCAGAAATCTATGATTATGGGTTCGAATCTCGATTCGCCCCGATTATGTTTCTAGGTTTGTCAGCACCATGCCCGTGCTCGCGGGTTTCACCGAAGTGGTAAACGTCTGAGACCTGCATCAGGTCGAGCATATTCTCGAAAGCAGTAGGATAAAAAACCGTAAAACCGTATCAATACACCAGTGGGTTTATGAAATTTGTTCGTGATTTAAAACATGGAAAAAATTGTTTTCTGAAGTCTGAGTGCCGTGATGAAATGACGAAGGTTGTAACTTACTTATTGCAATTGATGACGATGGTTCAGTTGTCCATCAGGACATTGCAAACACATAGGTGCAGTTTTATATACTGTGCACAAATTTTCAACAACTGGTGATGTATTAACAGAAGAAACATGTACACAAAGATTGCAAACATTCCATAAAAGTAAACCCTATAAAGGCTGTCCCATTAAGGCGGCTGACCTTGATTGTTGCAACAAGGAACTGAACGTTATATTTGACCCGCGACTAGTTCAGTATCGCAAAGTGCCAAATTGGACTTTTTCCGCAATGTTTGGTTAAACCACCAGTTGCTCAAATGTCTCCTCCAGCAAATCAATTTGCTGTTAATTAAGATCATGATTATCTTTAGCTGACCAATACCTGAAATCTCAGAACATATCAGAAATATAAGACATGGACAAAAGCAACACTGAAATAATAACCCGTAAACAGTCAAAGAGCGCGGAATGGAAAACTGAAAAAATTTCTTGGGAAAATTTGTATAGCAAGAGACAAAACTGATTTTCCGAAACTTGCTAGATCAATGACTAAGCCTTTCGATGACATTCAAATTTCACCACTAAGACATGGAAGAAAATATGAAAAGGTAGCCATAAAAGCTTTTGAAAAGTCAAGTGGTTGCAAAAGCTCACCAAGTGGAATGTTTATGATCATCCATTCCTCGCAGCTTCACCAGATCCACTTCTCGGTGATGATACTACCATTGAAGCGAAATGTCCATTTGCATCTTCAGACCGTCCAATCTCTAAGATAACTGTTCCCTCTTTGGAAGTACCTGAAGGAAAACTTACCCTTGACAATAGCATGCCATATTTCTTTCAAGTGCAAGGGAAGCTCTACTGTACTGGTAGAAAACAGTGCATTTTTATTGTATACACGCTTAAGGATTTGAAATATTTAACTGTATCCCGAGATGGATCATTTCATTGAATATACGGTTGAAAAAATTGTGGCATTTTATGACACCTTTTTCAAAAAGGCACTGCTTGACAAATTCTATTTAAGAGATTATGACAGATATTCCTGGTAAATTTTAGCTACTACCCATAGTCATGTGTCGATATTCATCAGCCCTAAAATTGACTACTGTAACAGTCCTATGTGACAATGCCAGCCAACTTTTAACCACTCGAGGAGTTGATAGTTGGATAATCTAAATATCACAACGTACATACATGGCTGCCTTCACTAGTCTTAATATATACAATCTCAGATGTCTTTTAAGACATTGAGTACTAACTGTTACAGTACTATGTGACTTAGGCACTTTATTAGCAAACAGTGAATCTGAAAGAGCTCTTTTCCTGTGTAAGCAGGCATCTCATTATCAGCTACTTTAAAGAAATTGGTCTATAATAAATTAAAATATGTATGTGAATCATTACTTGCCTGGTTTTAAATTTGATGTGATGCTATTATTAACTGACATTACTGAAGGCTCTGTCCAAGAGGTTGAAGTACCGTAACATGATTACCTCATGTTTCACACGTAATCATATCATAATCGATGTAACCATCATCAACCTGTGTTTTAAGCCAACTCATTGCCGAGTATTTTTTAATATTGGCTAGTATTGAGCACAACCACCAGTGTCTAAAGTGATTACGTAAATCCTGCTGGGGTATCATCCAGGTAGCAGAGGAACTGTAAGTCCCCATGATCCCCAGCGAGGTAGCCTAGCTCTGGTTTCTGGTGGTCTATAGCCAGTGTTTTAAAACTGTATAAATGATATGGTTATGACCAAGTATGTGTGATAAATTGTTTATAAATATAAAATTGCATTCAGGAGTAAATTGTGTATATGTCAACTTGGTCATGACGCGAAATGGCTGAAATAAAATTGATGTGACGTTAACTTTGAACTCGCTATAAGCCAATGGCAACCATCTGTTAATTACGCCCGAAGTTATGCAGCTCTCTTACGTTTACCACTTCGGTGAAACCCGCGAGCACGGGTATGGTGCTGACAAACCTACAAACATAATCGGTGCGAACCGGGATTCGAACCCACAATCACAGATAACTGGCGTGCCCAAGGGGCGCAACTCTGCTCAGCGAAATGCGGCGCCTTAGACGACTGGGCCACCCGTGCCACCAAACAATACATGGAAATGCCTAATACAGAGAAGTGTCTTCAACAAGTACACATGGCACTGTTCTGACAAATACACATGAAAAGTGAACAAACATGAACATGTCTTCTTGAATCATCTGTGCCTCATCTCCGTGGGAAAACAAGCATCTGCAGGAAAAGGTAACAAGATGCATTAAAGACAGAAACGTCAAATATGTGTTGACATTCTGATAAACATCAATTCAGCAAATTAAAGAAGAAAAGTAAGAAAGGTGATGGTCAAACATTAATAACTCCCTAAACATGAACAAAACGGTGGTAAACGGTGGTAAACAGGGTTTTACCTTGATTAACTGGGTATGCACCATGCCTACAGACACTTCAAAATGTCAACTCTACTCATCCACTGATTCTTGATATTTTAGAATCACTGTCAAGCATGTCCTGCTTGGCTATATTGGTTTTACCATCACAAGGGTTGGTTGGTTGGTTTGTTGTTTTACGCCGTCTCAGCAATATTCCAGCTATATGACGGCGGTTTGTAAATAATAGAGTCTGGACCAGTGATTGACGTCATGAGCATCGATCTACGCACTTGTGATTCGACGACATGATGCAACCAGGTCAGCGAGCCTGACCACCTGATACCGTTAGAAGCCTCTTACGACAAGCATGGGGTGCTGAAAACTAATTCTAAACCGAAATCTTCACGGGACTGTAACCACATGTAGTAATGTGTAATTTTATATTTTATCAATTCTGGCCATGAGGCAGTACTGATTTATAGTTATGGGTTGTGCCCAGGGTTGAATGCAGATCACGGCCTCAACCACAACAGCCAGCACACTTTACCTCACCTCACCGCTCTAGTTGTCGGTCAGCATCCGCAAAGGTAAGTTTCACAACTGAGCTCAATTAATAAACACCCGCAAATTGTATCGAGAAATGTACATTCTATGTTAAATCTCCAAACTTTGCTTCAAAGAGTATTCATTCAATGCAAAGTAGGCCTTAGGTATGCAATGCCATTAAAACAGAACTTGTGAAAGGTCCCAAACAAAATCAAGCAATATACAGAAATGATCAAATACTCTCATATTTAATCCTGTTTGTGCAAGTCGATGCATTCTTTGTTTGACTCAAAGCCTAGATTTTCAAAATGATCTTAGCTAGGATGAATCTTAACAACTTACGTTCACAGATAACATATATCTTAAGATAAGATAGATTTTCGAAACTGTCGTAAAACTGCCGCAGATCGTTCTGAGCTACGATACCAAGCGTAACTCTGAGAGAGAACTCATTGGTGTTGGATATAGAAAAGCGGGGTGTGTCTAAATGACGCCACGGGCTTTTCCCAGGCGTAGACGACGAACAACGAAATGGAAGGCTTACTTGGATCAGAGCACATGTAATACAAGAAGGCCCGCAGGGCTAATTCGACCGCCTCCGAGATGGAGGTACTAGTCTCGGACGTCAGTCTCCGATCCTCACTTCTCTTTGGACGTTTTACCAACACCATTACTATGGCAAAGAAGAGGAAATGCTGGGAGGAGATCACTGACAAGTAAGTGTCGGACCAATGACATATCCCTTGGCTAAAGAGTATGATGGATATATGAGTAATAGTTCTCTGAATATTGTTTACACTGCGTATGTTTTTATTTTCTGAATAGTATAGATGATTGAAAAATATAGATCGTTAACTGATTGAAAAATATATAGATCGTTAACTGTATGTTTTGTTTGATATTAATGAATATACTAACTCGTCATTTTAACAAGACCAAAATACTTTGTTTTTGTAAAACATAGTTTCTGTTAGTGGTCAGAGTTGTTTTATCGATAATAATTAACAGAGACATGCCTCGATAATGAGAGGCATCAGGTTCATCGTCCTTTTATATCGTAAGTGCCCATTTAGGATTTTCAATCATTGTATATTTAAGAATGTGATGGGTTGACACCAGTATTATTTAATCATCAAGCGTGATTGGTACAAACCATTATCATTTAATCATCAGGTGTGATGGGTTCACAGAATTATGGGTTCAAATAGTTTTTATTTAAACATCAAAGGTCATGGGTTCATATATTGATGCGCATTATCATATTAAGGAAGTTGATACTTTCAATATTTCCATTGCATGTCCTCCGATTCTCAGTGAAGCTTTTGAATGGCAGTCTGAGACATTAAGACATGGGTTCGATGGCAAGTGCACCGAAAATTCTTACTCACTGCATGTATTTTGTTGTTGTAATATTGTATTTTATATCTGTTGATTTATATCTTTTAGAGTAAATATTGTTCGTTTTATGATGATAGTTGATTTGAATCCAAATAATAATAAATATAAAAAATACATACCAAAAAAATAATATATTGTAATTGAAAATAAACATGTATAGAACTGTGACCTATGAAACATGTTGTTTTTGGCAGGATCAACTCAAACAGTGCATCCAAGAGGGATTGGATTGAAGTGAAAAAGAAGTGGACAGACATGAAGTGCATATGATATTATATTTTGATGTTAGATTCTACTAAGATAATATATATATATATATATATATATATATATATATATATATATATATATATATATATATATATATATTATAAGAAGTCAAACAAGGAAACGTGCTGCTAGTAAGAAAAGAGAGAAAACAAAGACAGGAGGTAGGCCTCCATCTAAGGATGTACTGAGCCACGTCGAACATATGGTATGTTATAGTTGTTTTATCCTAATGTATACAATTCAGTATATGCTATTATATATGATATTCACCGCCATTGTAGAAGTAATAACTTGATATACCGTTTACAATATTCAAATTTACATTCTACATATGGTTATGTATGAAAGAAAATGTGTAATGTGTTTAAAAAAATATAATGAAAAGAATAAATTTTGTATTTTGGCTTTAAGGTTGTGTCACTGATACCTCCATGCCAAATTGAGGGATGTAACGGTGGAATTGAAAGCGAAGAATGTAAGTACACTAAGATGTTATTCGAAAAAAAATAAATTATGTATTATGTTTTACAATGTAAAAGTAAAACCTTTTACTATTTATTACAAACAATGTTGCATAGACCACTTAAGTTAATACTTAAATTGGTGTTTTTATTGTAACTGATTAATATCTGGATTTATATTTATAATGTTTTTGTTATCTACATATTAGATTTACCTGTATCTGGTGACCAACCACTCAATATGTCCGAACACTTTGATGCTATTGGTACAGTAAAAAAACAATGGATGTTTCATTGATACATTTTTTTATAGATATAAGAAGTCAAAATTGAAATTGTTCACAATACTTCATTGTTGCAGTGCCTTTGTATAATTCTTACTTTAAATGTATTTTTCAGTAATTTCTGAAGTCTGCCTGCTTCATTTCAAACAGTTTGTTATGCAAGAACATAAATCAAGTATATTCATTCGATGGAGATATGCATATACAACAGAACAATATAGTTTTACAGCAGCATCATTTATTACAAAAAATAGTAGTAATTGTGTTGTAAGTTATGCACACTCAATTGTCGGGATCAGTCAAGGATAACTGTATGAAAGCATGAAAGATGCTGTTATAGAAGTGAATAGGTTTGAGCAATAACATTTCAACATACTAGTCAATAATCGGGATGATGGTTATGCTGATAATGATGGTGATTTGTTACAGAATATGCTGTGAGATGTTGCTCCTCTGTGTCACTTACAGCAGTAAGTGGCAAAAGCCTGCCACAAACAGTTGAATCAGGTGGGTAGTATTAAAAGAAATAAAACATTTTGAGAGGTTAAAGTTTCTGTATACTATGTTTCAAGATCTGTAAGACAAATTGTAAACATCAATCATTTGTCATGTGTCATGTAGTAAACAAACAGAACTAAACTGAAAAGCTTTACTAGCCCGGGGAAAGATAAAATGCCCTTGTAATGTTTAACAATGGGGGAAATTGAAAATTACAAATAATTTATGAAATGGTATTACTTTCAGGACATATTGATAAAGGAAGAATCATGTGCCTGTAATCATTGAACATTTCAGTATTCATTTAAATATTTCATTGAAATTGCAACTGATCAAATTATTCTTGTCCTAGGGAAACCTAAAAGGCAGATAATCCCAATGGAGGAGACGAAACTGGAGGTGTTGGAAGGAATGATGAGAGCTCAAAATGACTTCGTGGATGTGGAGAGGAGGACTTGAACTGGAAGAAGAAAAAAAAATGTCCATTTTGAGAAATATTTATTCTGACAAATGTTTGTCACCCATCATTAGTTTTTATTAAACCACTCTGTACAGGTTCCACTATATTGTAGCCTATCACATGTCAAGTAAGAACAGCCCATCACATGTTTATATTTTATTTGTTTATTGTTTAACGCCTCACTCAGCAACATTCCAGCTATATGAAGGCGGTTTGTAAATAATCGAGTTTGGACCAGACAATCCAATGATTAATATCATGAGCATCGATCAACGCAATTGGGACTGATGACATGCTTCAACCAAGTCAGCGAGCCTGACCACCCGATCCCGTTAGTCGCGTTTTACGACAAGCACAGTCGCCTTTTACGGCAATCATGGGTTGCTGAAGACATATTCTACCCGGATCTTCACGCGTCTTGTACACAAGTACACAACCTCATCCTCTGCATTTAGGGGTTGAGGGATACACTGGTCAATACAGTAATTGTGCAGCTGTGCTGCAACATACACAACCCTGTGACACTGTTTTACCAGAGACTGCCGGTAGATTTCTGGAGGCAACTGTAACTAGTACATAGCGATGCTTATTAGTCATATTATCATAATTATTCGAAAAGATACATGTTATAAATGTATTTGCAATATTATTTTAACTGTTTGTTGTATAACGCCACACTCATCATTAGTGTACAAAATATATTTTTAAAGTACACATCTAAGCAACTAAACAAATAACTTAACAATAACAATGTTTATCGAATTGTTGCTTCTCCATGTCAACTCATATAAGGTTGGTTGGTTGGTTTGTTGTTTAACGCCGCACTCAGCAATATCCAATCTATATGACGGCGGTCTGTAAAATAATCGAGTCTGGACTAGAATTCAGAGATTGATGTCATGAGCATCAACCAAGTCAGCGAATCTGTATTTTAACTGAAACCACTCAAGAGTCAATGTTATTTTCAATAAGGTCTTGGTTAAATTTAACATTACATCAACTGCTTGTGAACTAATTTATCAACTACCGGAAGAATTCAATGCTTCCCCTGGAAGCCAGGTGCGCCGGGTTAAGTCCGGCACGTAATGAAAGCCAATGAAAGCTCGACAAATAGAAATGCCAGAGCACACTGTGGCTCGATTTACAATGTCAATCAAGCAAAGGGAGGGGCTTGAGGAAGTCGTTCTGTCGCAGTAAATATTCCGATTTCAAATAACTACAGATTCTCGACGGAAAACGATAGTAAGAAAGCATCCAGAAAACGTCGTTTTCACGCCCAATCCCCATATACGAAAAAAACCCCGGCGTTTTCGTATTTGCAGTGTGTATATTCAGCGTCATTCAGTGCCTTGTTAGGCACAAAACGACTGCACTGTATCCCTTCTAACAACACAGAAAATAGGCAGAGGCACGACAAGTGCTTTTAGCAGAAATATCTTATTATTATTATTGAAATGTTTTGTATAGCTTCTATGTAAATGTTTATATTTTGGTGCGCTCATGTCTATGTGGAACACGCAGTAACCAACCAAACTGTGCACATTACAGGGTTAGACAGTGGTGCCCCTCGCACATTCCTCACAGATTTCATTGACAAGACGGATGCCTTAATTGGTCACTGTAATAATGTAAGCGATTAAACACATGTAATGTACAAAGTTCAACAGTTTACACGTAATTATATTACTTCAAAATATCTTACGTATGCAATCACGCTGCTCTTTTGATCATGTGGTATGTTAAAACGGTCAAGATATAAAACAAACATGCATGCAGGTAACATCATATGTCAAAATGTTGCAGCAATGAAGAGTTACTAGTGTGTGGTGCTATTTCTGTTGTAGTGTGGATACAACCATGGCACATGAACAATGGCGCAGTCAACTGGACTACCTCATAACCCTTCTGGGATTCGGTGTCGGAACGGGAGCATTCATAAGGTTCCCTTTCTACTGCATGCGCAATGGAGGAGGTAGGCCTAACTCAAATAATGCTTTGACATATGAACAATTAACAAGTCTTCATGTCTACGCAAATGTCTACAGCTCTTGTGATGTAAGCATTGTAGCTAATGAACTGGTGTATTTCGTTGTTTCATATTATGGTTATGATGTGGACCAAAATATTTGTGAAGGAAATTACAACTTTCAAAACTGTTCTTTATTCTCAACGTAAAGTCAATGTACAAATGCTGACATATGATATTTAATTCATATGCATTGAATAACCCATCATATCACACAGGGAGTAAAACATTAGTTTGAGAAATATATGAAACCATTTGATCTAACACATGCCTTTGGAGTTATCCATGTTATCTTATACTGGAACACATGTTTCAAGTCACTTCCTGGTCGAACAGGAGTGGGGACATGGGGATGTTTGGTTAGTCTCACTGACTTATGACCGTTCAATTATAAGTAGGCATTGACATGCATATTTCAGAATGTACATACTCTGGCTCTACTCACAGTGCAAATATCGGTGACTTCTACTTGGGAAGTACATGTTTATGCTTCTGAACCATATGCAAAACCGGCCTGAAAAATAATGAGTTCATTATTTTTATTGACTAGGAGCGTTCCTGATACTGTTCATGTTCTTCACAATAATTGCAACCATCCCCTGTGTGTTTCTGGAGATGACCATCGGACAGTTCTCTCAGAGTGGACCTATCAAAGTCTGGAATATGTGTCCTGCCTTCAAAGGTAACAACTGAAACCAGAAACTACCAAATGTCCTAGTTACAATAGGGAAACATTCCCCTGTTTCAACAGGGAAGTGTGCCCCAGTTAACCAAAGCAAGTTTCAAGATAAACATTGTCTGCTTGTATGTAAGCAAACATATTCTAGGTTCGAGGGGGACACCTTTCACCTGCCCATTTTTAAAAGGGAAACCTGCCCTGACGTGTTAAGTGTAGGTTTACATCGGTGCAACAGTCATCTACGCCAGGATCCAATGAACGTGGGTTTCAAAAGAAGATGAGCCCTGAGTGAGTGAGTGTGGTTTCACGTCGCTTTTTGCAATGATCACGTAATACCACGGCGGGAGGCACCAGCAATGGGCTTCAAACAGTTTACCTAAGTAGGTACCTGGGTGACGACCGAAGGCTTTAATCACACGGCTACCCCATCGCCCAGATTATACTCCTTCCTTGTCAACACCATATCCACGGTTGCTGGTTTTAGTGAAGAAGTAAACATCTGACTCCCAGTAGTATAACCGACTATAACTGATAACACCATGTTGACACAGTTAACGTCTCGGTATGGTTTTCAATCAGAAACCACTCGTATCATAAATCATGATCACTATGACTCTCCCATATACCAATACTTATGTTCCCTATGGTTGCAGGTATAGGTGTTGGCAGTGTTATCGTTTCGTTGCTTTTCGTCAGCTACTACAACGTCATCTTCACATGGTATATATACTATTTCTACTACTCGTTCTCAAACAACCTGCCCTGGGGCCACTGCGACAATTCATGAAACACCCAAGCATGCATATACAACAAGAATGTATCAGCTGTGTCTAATGATACAAAGTTTAATACAACAGACGCTGGATATTCCATTAACGGAACGATTCGAGGGAATAACGCTGCCGAAGAATTCTGGAAGTATGTTTATATACTTAAATATGTCAAAGGTGTAGTGTATTAGACTTACAATAGTATTCCCTCCAACTGGGTTTTGCTGTCTTGCGCTCAATGCCTGACGTTGTTTTCTTAATGCTGCGCAACTTTTTTTCAGCAATTTATAATATACATTTTACAATTTATACCTCGATCTTAGCTCAAGTAACCTTAAACATGACTATGGTTACTAATCTGTCAGCACCAAACCAGTGCTCGTGGGTCGCACCAAAGTGGCAAAGTCGCAAACTAACATTCGTCCTGATTTTGGTTTCTCAGCATCTGTCGGTGCTCGTGTAAGACATGCATCAGTGCGGCCTTCCTCTCGCATCAAGCTGATACGGCTGGATATAACGGAAAAACTGTTCGGAGCTGTGTTCATTCAAATCAATCTCTTTCCCAGTAGTCGCTAAACGGCTGAAATGATGCTGATTCGATTAAATTTTAACTCACTCAATATTGAGAGGTTTTCGTCTTCAGATTACAGATGCTGGGACAGAGTGATGGCCTGGACAATCTTGGAGGTCTCAGATGGCATCTTGTTGGATGTCTGGCCGTCAGCACAGGGCTCATATTTCTTTGGATATTTCAAGGAATAAAAGTATCAGGAAAGGTAATAAGCATGATCCAACACATACGTTGTAGGGCAAGCAAAGGCTACATCTAGAAAGAAATAGAACTGTATGGACATAACCAATATGTTGTTGGTTGGTTTGTTGTTTAACGCCGCACTCAGCAATATTCCAGGTATATGACGGCGGTCCGTAAATAATCGTGTCTGTACCAGACAATCCAGTGATTGATATCATGAGTATCGATCCACGCAATTTGGATCGATGACATGCATCAACCAAGTCAGCGAGCCTGACCATCCGATCCCGTTAGTCGCCTTTAACGACAAGCACAGTCGCCTTTTGCGGCAAGCATGGGTTGCTGAAGACCTATTCTACCCCGGAATCATCACGGGTGTAACCAATATGTGTGAATGGACATAAATTATATGTTGAAGTTAATATGTTTACAAATCTTTCGATTCTTGTCGGTAGTTTACACACTTAGAGTTATGGAAAATAACTTTTATGATACATTGCCCCTGCTTTCATCCGTTGATCTGCATTAAACCATTGAGATCGCGATCCGTCATACAGTATACTCGTCACGGGACATTGCTAATCGCAATAGAAAACCATATTCATTCACTAACTCACTTTATTCTTTTCTACCAGCTTGTCTACATCACCGTGGCCGTACCCTACATCCTCATCTTTATCTTCCTCATCCGGGGCTGTCTACTTCCGGGGTCAGCTGAAGGAATATACTACTACATCTATCCCAAGTTTGACAAGCTCACAGACCCTAAAGTGTGCACGAATCCGTTTACCCATATTCAACTTTCTATTTAACTTGTATTGCCGCCATTGTTACTTTTATCATGTTTAATACCAGATGGTTGGTATTCATGGCTTATCGAAAGGGGATAGAAGAGGGTAGAGCCACTCTGGTTCGATCCCTCACATGTGTACAAAGACCCATTTCTGATGTCGCCCAGCCATGGTGAGGCTGGAAAATGTTCAAAAGCAACATATAACACTATTCACACATATGCTGATGGAGTAACAAAAGGGGAAGGCGTGGCAATATAAACGAAAAATGTATGTGACTGTTCAATAGAAGGGAATCAGAGAATGTTTCATAGAAATGCCTTCATTTTAAGAACATTTTTGTACACCATGACATACCTGTAAATGCAGTCATAAATACTTAAGGTATTCCCTGTGTAATGGGGTAGTTCTGGAGAAAGCTACGACATACGCTGATGTTTCCGACATAGCAATGTTCGGGTGACGTACATGTAATACCGAGTAAGAGTTATCCTCCGTATTGTAAATGACGTTTAACAGAAATTCTACCATGACATTGATGAATGCTTGATTCTGATTGGTTCAAATATATTAAGACTTTTCACCCAAAACGTGCGCATGAATACATAGAAAGCCTACTTATCGATTCATAAAAAAAATGGCTGCCGATCGATCACCCCCATATAAACTGTAAAACGAATATTTATTTCCTCTAATACACGATGGGTCTCTAATACCAGCCAGGTCTCTAACACACGCCGAGTCAAGCGCTCTCGCGATTTTAATAGACGAAGTAGCGTCAAATAGAGAAAATATATAACGGTAGTCTGATATTGGATGTTTGGGGCGTTCTAGGCCGCAACCCTGACTGCTTCGATGATGACATTAAATGATTTAACGAAGGCATATCTTTTGCATACAAATGAAATGTTTATGAAACTGTTACAGAAATGTTCTGTGGTGACCAGAATTGGAATTGTTTCAGCTATGTCCTCATTGAAACAACCGACAATGAAAGTAAAATATAACATAACAAAAATTGCTTGAAAAAACTTTACAAACCTTTTTTGTGATTGATATTCGTTGCCATCTCCGTCAACCACCACCGTTAGAATTTGGCAGGAGGGGATTTGAAAGTCCATCAGAAAACACTCACCTTCGAAAGTCCATGAAAATAATGTCCCAACTTAAGTGACAGCTTATCAAACTTGATGATTCATTTCAGAATAAGAGCAATTAAGAAAAATCATATACGATCCACTCTCTCTGGGCCACAGACGTCTTAGCTCTGTCACTATCTGGCTTTGGATCTGTGAAATCTTGAAATTGACGGTTCACATCATGCAGATTCCTCGTTTCAAAATATCCGGCTCGTCTGCGGCCAACAAAAGCGCCTGTTCAGTCATACTCAGTCACACTGGTAATAATATGGATGTACCAGCAGGCTCGATCAATCCCAGATAATCTACATGTTAATGTTGAGCCACATCATAGATCGGGGTTGTCATCTTGCTTCATTCTTTAACTCGTTACGGAGAATTTAACACAAGATTGTCAGCCATTGACAGCTGGGAGGTGTGAGTAACAGTGATGTACATGTAGGTCAAGTTCTGGGGTGGAGAGGCATTTTTTTAAAAATTTATTATTGTTATTTAACTTATAACACTTACACATGTTAAATGTATACTAGAATGTTAATTCATAAAGTTTGTTGTAGAAATATATTCGTTTAGCATTTTAAAACCTTTTTCTATAAACCGTCACCCCTAGATATGATCGCATGTTCGATTTCCAAGAAATGACCTCTCTCGCAAAAATCCGAGAATTCACCGTCAGTCCACAGTGTACAACAGTTTTGTAGAAATTAAAACATCTCTCTTTGGACTAAGTTTGGAGTGTTATTTATCAACTTATGTTTTGAACTATTATTATGAACTACTTACGACTATGGTGTTTTTAATCTTGAACTTTAGCAATAATTGTTACATATATAACTACCACTGTGACCACTTTTCGGAATGTTGTGGACCTGTGTTGTTACGCGTTGCAAGAGAGCACCGTTTTTAAAGTGTTGCCGTCATGGTAGAATGGAGATAAACCTACGGTGTTTTGAAATTTGATGTAGTCCCACCGTAGAGCAGATACGCTCGGTTCAAAATTAAAATAAAGAGGTATCTACTCTACAGTGGGAATACATCAATTTTCAAAACACAGTAGGTTTATCTCCTAATCAGTGTGGTCGATTCAAGAACGAAAAGAACCGCTAATCCACACAAAATCGTAAAGCAAACGTATTAATTGATCATAATTACTTAGTTAGCCATGTTTGCTTTGACGATCCTTGCATGGACGCCGACTGTCCTCTTTTTCGCTATATAAAATTTTGCAAATACGCAAACCTGGAAGAATATTCTTCATTTATTTTTTATACTCATTACCCTGGTACGATGTCATAAAATTTCTGAGGCGAAATATCGCCCATTGCTTTGTTACTGTAATGTTGCAGGTCAAGCCAATGTCAAAGATCAACGTCATTGTTGTCAAGGTTGTCAAAAATTGGGAACTATTCATTGGTGACATGTATCCATCCCTCTTTTAATAAGTACCTGTATGTTAGTTTGTTTGAGTCTTGTTCTATGTGGCATGACGTTTGGCTGAACAGAAAAAGAATGTGTGTGTCATACTACAAAAGGCCATAGATTTCTGATACATAAAGGTAAATTTCTTTCTTTTGGCTTGCGATTATTGTGTGCTCACTTCAGACGTTTTTCAAAAAGTTTATTAACTATATGTGTGTCTTGTTTGTACTTCCAGAGCAGTAAATGCAATGTCTCACACACACGAAATACATGAAAGAAATCATTTCAGAACTTTGTATACTAGTTTACATACTTCATGCTTCAATACCCTTCTTCTGAATTTAATTTACCGCTTATAGTTTTAAACTGACATGATTTCACTGCTGATGTTTCTACTATTAAATGTTTATGAACGAAAAACCACATTCGTGATACTTTAGACATACAACATACATACCCCTATTCGATTTTATCGAATTTTGCAGAAAGGGGGTATGTGTATATAATTTGATGAAACAGTTAAACTGAGTAGTGAATATTGATGAAACTTTAGAATTTGATCCAGGGAAGATGTAGATTATACAAAAACAAAAAGTGTTTTATGATCTTCAACACTGCCCATTCTACAGGGAATACCTTAAGTTAAATCCTATGCTTCTGATCAGCACTCTGCATGCACTGCACGTGTCTTTGGTTTCAGGTGTGGATTCAGTCGTGTAGTTTCGCCCTGGCTTCCATGGGTATAGCCATGGGGTGCATAATTACTATGTCTGGACACAACAGAATGGACAACAACTGCTTCAGGTATATATTTTATGTCAATCAGTTTTTAAAGACATGCTCCAGTCGTTTCCATGGTAAAACACAATTTATAAGACAAAATGTGCACATGAAACTGTGTATAAGACACTATTGTAGAACAATATATGCATATGCATTTTACCATGTGTGACGCCATGACTGACGCAAAATCACGCACAACATCAAAGGTATTGATCTGCATTTCTGACTAATTCTCTTTGTTACAACGGAAAATGTAACAACAAATAACAATATACAGATTGTCATATTGTTCCTGATTATTTACATGATGATACCTTTATGTATGTACCATCACTGAAACGACAAAACTACTGTTCTGAAAATCCCGCGTTCTGCTGCAAGTGTAAAAAAGTCTGTCACCGGTAAACATTGCTGTACATATTTAGTAGTTTCTTTGAGAGGTCTGGTAAATAACGGTACACACGATCCTTCTATCCTGCTACTTACAGTTTCAATCATGATGTAGACTTTGCGTATCTATATAAGAATCAACTGATTTTTTATGGATTGAGACAGAACCAGATGACTTTCAGATTTAAGGGGAGAAAGTATTTTCTGAAAACACTACTAACTTTGTTGCAAAACATGCTGCAACCATGAGACTTTTAAAAAAATGAAACCGACACAATACAAAAACAAGAAGTACCAATCATTCTGCTACAAAGTGAGCTGAGTGGTAGCTCTTGACGTTCCTTAATACGCCCTAACGTTTTCGACCTCAAGGCTAAATAAACTGATAAAGCAGTGAGAAAGTTTATCTTTGAAGTCCTATATAACTGCTCGCAACTAAACTGAAGTACAAAAGAAAGTACACACCCCACTATTCTGACAGTAAAAGAAGACAGGGCAAACTTTATTGTGATTGTAATGTTTAATGTCATTGTTGAGTCATTTTCAAACATGTTTAGAATGGATTTAAAGATTTGTGGCCACATAAAACTTTTCAGTTGACAATAACGTCCATAGGCGGTCACTCATCAAAAATCACACTTGTAGAAATGATGACAGTCCCAGGTATGAAGGCCATGCGAGTGGTCTCAGTACCTCGTATGACCCCCATTTGAGTTAATGCAAGCCAGGACACGCCTTCTCATGGATAAGGTCAACTGTCGGATGACGTCATTAGGGATCCGCTGCCACTCTTCTCGCAGAGCCTGTTCCAGCTGTGGTATGGTGGTTGGTGGCTGTGCACGTCGTCGCAACTGTCTACCGAGATGGTCCCACAGGTGTTCAATGGGTGACAAGTCCGGAGAGCGTGACGGCCAAGGCAAAAGCTGAATGTTCTGACGGTTCAGGAAGTCCATAGTGAGTCTAGCGGTGTGTGGTCGGGCGTTATCTTGCTGAAAAAGAAACCCCTGCCTTTGCCCCTGCATGAAGGGGATCACCACCGGCTGTAACACTTGGTCCCTGTACCTCTGGGCTGTCAGGGTCTGGTGGAGAATGACCAAATCCGTCTTCTGTTCGCCGCAAATGCCTCCCCAAACCATAACGCTGCCTCCGCCAAAAGGATGAACTTGTTGGACACATGCTCCAGCCAGTCGCTCGCATCTACGTCGGTAGACTCTCACTCTACCGTCAGCATGGTAGAGGTTGAATCGACTTTCATCGGTAAAGAGGACTCGTGACCAGTCACGACGTTGCCAGCGTCTGACTCTTCTTGCCCAGCGAAGACGGCTGATACGGTGTTGAGCGGTCAAGGTCATCCCACGGAATGGTCGATAAGCCCGGATACCGGCAGCTCGTAGTCGTCTCATGACTGTGTTCCTGCTGATGTGGTGACCTAACGCTGTCGACGCTGTTGATGCCATGGTGAGGAACCTGTTGCGCAGGTGTAATGTGCGTATGTACCGGTCTTTTGCAGGGGTCGTCACTCTCGGTCTTCCTCTTCTTGGGCGGTCGGATGTCTGGCCAGTCTGGTTGACACGACGAAGGAGTCTGATAATGGTTTGCCTTGTGCAGCCAAGGGTCCTTGCGATGTGACTGTTCGACGCCCCCACTTGGGACATTCCCACGGCTCTCTCTCGCTCCGCTGCTGTTAAACGTGGCATTTGTCTTGTGTTTTTTTCGTTGAATGTGTAATGAACGATAGAATCCACTGCCTTTTATACTGTTTCTACGCATATTGCACGTGCAAATGGAGAAAATTGCCATTTTCACAATGTGTGCTTTTGTTGCCTATCATAATGTCAAGGTTACGTTTCTGCGACATGCTCTCAATGGTTTTGTTCATTACATTACGATAGCGCCAAAAATGTAACAACTTTTTCAACCATATGCGTAATATATGATATTTTAGGGGTGTGTACTTTCGTTTGTATTTCAGTTTATAATGAAAACTTGTGGACACCAAACGCTCGTTCAGTCACACACCATTTACGAATTACTCCCATCGTTTTGTATGATATAATAGATAATTTCATTCTTTTTTAAATATTGTTATCATAGCATATTACACCTTTTACATTATTTCTACTACTATTGTTAAAAACAACAAAACTGTATGACAACTTACATGATTATCCCAAACAAAGGCGATTGGCATCTTTCATTGTGATAATACCGAGACGAAATGACGAGATGCATTCACATAATACCTAACAATTACAAAAATTGTTTGTTTTAAATTTACTTCTGAGTATTTGATTTACATAAAAATTATGCAGGTTTTGTCCAAATAAGATACATGATCAACCTATCTAATATGTTATATATTTAGGACATTATTTACACGGTAAAAAGCATTACAATCTGTTTTACATATGGTGATTTTTGTATATTTAAAACGAAAATTAGGTGATATCTATATATTAATCTATGTCTTTTGCTCCGACGTCGTCAAAGAAATAAAACAAGACGGCATGTCAAACGAAACTGTATCAATTTTTCCGTAATTAATCAAGTGGATTACGAGTCTAGTTTTCCTTATGATTTCCCATGCTAACAAAACATGTATGGCCTCGTATCGATATTTGTTTTGGAACAGTTTGGTTACTCTTGAACAATATAATTGAAAAAAGGATAAGATACTGGCGTGAACTATAGCACATTACAACCAGGAAAGCTGAGCTACGATGGCCTAGTTAAAGCATAGAGGACCTATGACCCCTTTTCTTTGTGTGTGCCTACACCGCTTTGCTGTCTTTGGGGTCGTAGTGAAAATTCTGTTTCTGTCCTTTGGATGCTGGTGATCTCTAGCTCGTTTTTATCATGTATTGTTATGTATTGTAATTACGTTTTATCCTTCCATACTAGTTTTAAATATGTCTGTGATACTCTAGTTATTTTACTGTCCTTTGTTGACAGGTATTTTAGAAAGTTTACACATATTTCGTATGTATGTTTAAATTGTTGTAGTCACGATATGGCTGAAATACTGCCGATGTGACTGTAAATCTTAACTCACTCACTCACTGTTTCTGTCATCGAAAATGTAAAGGCTTAGAGATTCATTTGCTATATCATTATTTCGTCAATATATTACATAAAGCGTCACATAAAAAATAATTCGTCGCAATGTACAATTAAAAGTAAATGTTTCCAATACTATATAATTCACCATATATTACAAAATAATAATTTCCTGTCCAAAGGAGCATATGGATATAGCATTAGTAGCGGCTCCTGCGCCAAAGACTTAGAAACAATCATTGATATATTCTAGGATTGCATCAAGGCAAACGGTATCATTCATATATTCTAGGATTGCATAAAGGTAAACGTTATCAATCATATATTCTAGGATTGCATCAAGGCAAACGTTATAATTCATATATTCTAGGATTGCATCAAGGTAAACGTTATCTTGAAATTACTTGAAAAATGGCTCTACTATACAATTAAAGTCAAACTGAAATTACAACGAGACAAGTACTACTTCTTTATGCAAATAGAAACAATGATCCAATCAACATAACTATTTTACTTTAAAAATGATTTTCAAAAGTAATTTCACGAAACTATGCCAAAAGTCTATACTCGCAGAATGAAGTAAAACAATGCCACATTATCGTTATTGTATTGTTCTTGAATATATCCTACGTTTCCACTCTAGTTTTCTCCAATATGTATAGAGATCGATGTCATTTCATATCATGTCTGTTTTATCAAACCAAGCTTAGATTTGCTAATTAATGTTCTACATGTTTCGTAATTTAGATAGTTAAAGAGGTAAATGCAGTGCTCAAATTCTCGAACAACGTTAACTTTTCATAATTTATAAAAATGCCCGCCGGAAAATTGACTTGGCATCCTGGGAGTTTAACAAACATGCCACGAAAAGTTCACTGTCTGGAATAAATAATTTGCACTGAAGTCGCTAAAATGCACAAGTGTGGGTATCTCAAAGCTTTCAGCCATTATTTTTATGCTATATTGTCTTTGTATTGGTTTTTGAAGGGATGTAATAATAGTTTGCCTGATGGATTCACTCTCGAATGTGTTCTTCGGCTTCGCTTTCTTCTCTATCGTTGGCCACGCGGCCTATCAACGTGGAGTAACCGTCGATGCGTTTGAATCATCTGGTAAGTAACCTAATGATAATTAATTGTTAATGACTATGAATATGTACACAATGAATTTTTGGGTACAGGTGGCCCAGTCGTCTGAGGGACTGCAATTGGCTTGCCAGAAGCCTTTGATCGTGATTATGTTTCTTGGTTTGTCAGCACCTTCCGTGTGCTTGTGTTATAAAGTGGTAAGGCCCGTGAAGATCCTGGGTAGAATAGATCTTCAGCAACCCATACTTGCCGTAAGAGGCGACTATGTCTGTCGTAAAAGGCGACTAACGGGGTCGGGTGGTCAGGCTCGCTGACTTGGTTGATACATGACATCGATCCCAATTGCGTGGATCGATGTTCATGATATTAATCACTGGATTGTCTGGTCCAGATTCGATTATTTACACACCGCCGTCATATAGCTGGAATATTGACGAGTGCGGCGTTAAACAACAAACCAACCAACCCACAACCTCGTCGCCAATGTAACGTTCCTGGGTCGTACCCAAACTCCACGAGAGAAACAACAACATATCTAAGACTTCATTTACTCAAGTCCCAAGAAGTATTAATATGGAGATATCACAGCTTAGATTAATTTATCTTATACATAGGCGCTGGTCCTATACTTTCACAACTTACAGACAAATACTTAAAGATCCCATACAAATATACACTTTCGAGAAGTGCGATGTCAAAGAGACATGCTCGTATGGGAGTATACCGTCGTTAATATACATGTATAATATAATTTTCACTCTTTTTCAAATTCCACTTTTTTTCGAAAGAAGTATTCATTGATTTCCATTTACTGATCAATATGAAATGAAGATATATGTAATCTATAAATTTGCATTCAATGGTCCTAATGGATGTTTTCTGTTTCAAAATTTAAGTGTACTTTAACATGTTTTGGAATAATAAATAAAATTTCTTAACTCAAGTCTTTGATACTTGAGACTGTTCAGACCATAAAACAATTGTAAAGTATGGCAGTCGTCAGCCAGATATAGAGTTACTGAAACATCACCCTTTGCATTGCCGACTGGGAATAGAGTAATAAAAGCTCTTCCTAATCTAAGGTGATAGTGAGTGAGTTGGCTTTAACACTTGTTCTTTGAACAGTATTCCAGTTACATCACGGCATTTCAGCTTAATGTGAAGACTTTATTGAAACACACGAGCACTGGTATGGTGTGGAAAAACCTGGAAACATAATCGAAGCGTCAAACTGTGTTAGACATTTTTTTAAAGTTCTCAATACAAACAGCTAGAAAATGTTTTAATGTCCGATGAATATTCGCGAGAGGACTATTTGAAGAGAAAATGACTGTTACATGGACAATGTACAAAGAAAGGTTAGTTGGTTTGTTGTTTAACGTCGCATTCAGCAATATTCCAGCTTTATGACGGCGGTCTGTAAATAATCGAGTCTGGACCAGAAAATCCAGTGATTGACAGCATGAGCATCGATCCATGCAATTGGGATCGATTACATGAATCAGCCAAGTCAGCGAGCCTTACCACACGATCCCGTTAGTCGCCTTTTACGACCGACATAGTCGCCTTTTACGGCAAGTATGGGTTGCTGAAGACCTATTCTACCCCGGAATCTTCACGGGTCTTAGTTTTGTATCACCGACTAGAACCTGTATGAAATTATTTTCACCAGAAATTGTGATGCGTACGTAGAATTAAAAACTGTCATAACAGCATGCAAGCCATAAGAAAGTTGTGTTAATTGTAGCTAAGTTGACATGGCGTGGCTGTCAGTGGTAGCAATTGATTGAAGCGTTAGTAAAATTCGAGTGTTGTCGTGGCCATATGTTAGCGGACCTCGGCAGCAGCCATTAATTTAGAGTTGTATATCAAGCAGTTATATCGTAGAATGTGATCACGGTAGATAGCGAAAGCCAGACTATAGTCAATGCGATTAAGGAATGTTCAGAAGACAGACGTACACGGTTGACTAAGACATCACAATTCAAGTCTGAATTGTCTTCCTTAATTGCTCCAAGTAGTACAATTACTGCTTGAGAGATCACCAGTTACAATTAAAGATACAATTATCAGTTGAGTGCTTTGGATTGTCCCCACTAGACCAGCCCAAGGGAGCGGGTCACTTCTTCCATTATGGCATAGGTTATCAGCTAGCGGGTCTCCTCAGAACTGTGACCTTGTTGGCGAGATCCTCAATATTCCATAGATAAAGAAATCAAGTTCGAGGAAGATCTAACGCAGTTCTAAAACATCCACTAAGCCTTAAACTTCTAAAGCCACTCATATGATCGAGTGTTTGAGCGTGTGTTTGAGATCGGTTTAGTGCCTCGTAACTGAACAGGTCAAACACATTTACCACTTTATAGTTGGTTGGTTGGTTGATTTGTTGTTTAACGCCGCACTCGGCAATATTCCGGGAGCTACTGTTAACATCATAAACACTGAACTTTGTGAGAAACACTGATTTTGTTCATATGTCAACCCAAAGGGTTCCGCTGCAATGCAGAATTATGAGGAGCAACTGAATCAAGAATTAGGTGATAGCTTTGGTGGACTAGGCACATTAAAAAAACCTTTCAGTTGAAACTACACATTGATTATAATATAAAACCGGTAGTTCAACCATTTGACCTAAAACAAGTTAAAACCAAGCTAGGAGAATTAGGTAGATGTTTTTGAAAGGGTAACAGGTCCACTCCTTGGGTATCACCCTTAGTTGTCCAGAAATCAGATTAGGATATGTGTAGACATGAGACTAACCAGGCAGTTGTTCGAGAAAGACACCCTATTCCAACCGTAGATGAAATCATCGCCGACACGAATGGCACAAGTGTGATAAGGAAGTTGAATTTAAAGTGGGGATTCCAATAGATTGATAATCACGTGTGATAACCACATTTTCATCTCATATTTGACTGTTCCGTTACAAGAGGTTGATGTTTGGAATACATTCTGTCAATTTCTGTGGACGGTTCATTCGAAACTCTACGGGTCGATATCACATGTAACCACCAACAAATATCCAAGAACGTCACAACAAGTTGTCTCCTAACTTGAACCAAACACAGTAATTGAGAAGAGTGGCAACTCAGTGACAGCAAGGAATGAAGAGCAGGTAGAAAAGAGGAAACTCATCTCACATGAAGAAGTGCCATGATGCACATCCCGACAGTGTTAAGGATGACAGTCCAGATATCTTTTCCAGAGGAGGTAATCCAGTGAGATCAAGTGGACGATAACCTGACAACCATGGAAGATGAGGCGAGTGACTAAATCTGTGAGACAACTTCAAGACAGAATACTGTGCCAGCTCGACTCAATGATTATGAACTGTATTGATAGTGCTATTATAAGTTTATGAGTTACAGTTTTCATTTACAGTCAGAAGAAAGATGGACTTATTTTAATAGTTGCAGTGCGAGCAGTGGCGACAACATAATTATATGTGTATAGGACTCTCTGAACAGCACGGATTATTTCATGAACTCTAAAGCATCTCACCTAAGTGATTCAGTGATGTGTAACATTGCGCTATATATACAGGAAATGTTTGATTCATTATGGATACTTGCTCACATTAAACACTGCTGGTTTGTACTTACCTTTAACTCGTTTATTATTCAACAAACCGTTTGAACTCAGCTCAGTAGTCATAAGGAAGAAAAATGAAACGTACATGGTTACAATTTATCATACGAAAAGGAGGAATGTTGTGTTTTCATACTATAAATAGATTGAAATGTTATGTCACATGACGCAAGTTGGTGAGGTCAGACTGATGACGTCATTGTTCAAGCGCCGCTCTTGAGTAAATGATGTCTAGACGTGTTGTTGTTGCTCTCGTGAAGTTTGGGTACGACCCAGGGTCTTGTTGTTGAGTGTGGTGTCAATTTAGCCCCTTTCCTTATAAGGATGGTACAACACTAGTTTTCTAGTATCAGGTACATATACATGTAGCTAGCGGAACATGACAGCAAGTGTCAAACTGTACGGAACATGTCAGCAAGTATCAAACTGCACAACACATTCGCGCGATACAGAGATCCTTCCAGCCATCATCGCGAATCTTATGATACTTATCCACGGTTGTCTTCGTTTTTTGGAAACGTAATTAACTAATTTTAGAGTAGTTCTTCTTGAGTAGTTCTTCGTGATATGTTTATCAATTGACACCAACACATCACGTTGTAAGGTACATCAGTGTGTTTATTATGGAAATAGAATGCACTGTAATGCAAAACTTGTAAAGTCTGATATTTTTATTAATCTGGCTATGGTAAATACTTGGAGCTGTGCAAAACAAATTGGTTCATTTTCGTGTAAACTTCATGGAACTGGGGAATAAATATTTACTACGCTTCTTGTGTTTCAGGGTTTGACCTTGCCTTCATCGTCTACCCCGAAGTGGTTTCCACTCTCCCCCTACCACAGCTGTGGTCTGTGCTGACCTTTGTGACTTTGATGTCTCTGACTATCGATTCTATGGTAATGAGGAAGCTTAATTCTCTCAGAATTAATAAATAGTTTATCAAGATGAACCTACATATTATTTTCAATGTGGGATTTATGATAATAAGACAACTCATACTACCTAGCCATTAACAAACAAGATGGTATTTGAATGTTGAAGGGTCACATGCTTCGGAAGAAACTCTTGTCTTGAGAATTGTTATGCATTATACATGCGTTTTTACATTATTTTAATTCCGACAAATAGACCCGTGAAAGTCCGAGGTAGAATAGGTCTTCAGCAACCCATGCCTGACGAAAAATTCAACTATGCGTGTCGAAAGAGGCGACTAACGGGATCTGGTGGTCAGACTAGTTGACTTGGTTGATGCATGTCATTGTATCCGAATTGTGTGGATCGCTGCTCATGATATCAGTCACTGGATTGTATGTTCAAGACTCGATTATTTACAGACCGCTGTCATATAGCTGGACTATTGCTGAGTGCGGCGTTTAACAACAATCAAGCAAACAAGAACTATTTCCGAAATTTACAAATTGTGTTGAAACATTTGACGATCAATACAAAACTATTAAAAGTTCCACCTATCTTCTCACAGTACGTTGAGACACCTTGGATGTAACTTAGATATGGTAATTGTTCGAATGCCAAAGAAGTTTAAAACTCGACCAACTGACATGGTGACACGTGTGCATATATGCAGGTACCATGTGTGGAGATACCCTTAGCTGCCTTGGAGGATATGTTTCCCAAGCTGATGAAGCGACACTGGTTCTTCCTCAGTGCTGTGCTCCTCAGTCTCTTCCTGTTTGGTCTGATATATACGTCACAGGTAACGATGAACACATCTGTTTGGTCTTATACATATTTCACAGGCTTTATGAACAGTGAACAGGCCTATTTTGCATTCGTACTTTCATTTGTTTTGCTTATAAGAGGAATATTTTGTGCTTCACATGGTTGTTGCAACCGCTTCTAAAATACCGTCTAGTCACCACTTTAATAAGGTATGCATACCCTATTCAATTGCAACTGTTGCGGAACAGTGTAATGGAGGCCACCCAAATGAGACTTTCTGGACATTGTCTTGGGTAAACAAACATGCACTGCTGAAAGACAAGAAGTTTTATCATTTGCTATATGGCAGTGTAGTGTATTGTTAAGCAATGTTGTAATTGTATCACATTGTTTCTGTTTAAATTCATAAGAACGGCATGACATTGTGTTTTAACGATAGTTGGTTGACAGGAATGTAGTACTATCTATTATAAGCAGTTGTGTTGAAGCTAATATTTTTAGATGCTATCAGAGTCAAGCATAACCGGGACTCTTCTAGAACAGCTAGACAAATCCAGGAATGTATAGAATATTCTGGAAAGTATTTAAGTGAGGTGAGGTGAAATGGCGGCTAATGTTGCAATCAAGATTTTAGCATTTATAGAGCGACGTGCAAGCACTTTTCAGTGCAAGGTTTTCAGGCACGAAATGTTATGAATCAGGAAAGGGTTGTTCCCCTCCTCCACCTCCTCCTATTTATCGTTCTAATATTTCTAATTTGTGTTCTGAGTTTGTTGACAAAAAGTCAAGTTCTAAAGATGCTTCTGAATTTTCGTCACAGCCTTCTTGTAGCTATTGCCGTAAGCCAGGACATATTGTTTCTGAGTGTAAAAAGCTCACTTCCACTAATGCTTTTGTGAATGTCAGATCACAGTCGTTTTTGTGGCTCGGTTAATGAGAAGTTAGCTTTTGTAGACCAGTCATCAAAGTCTGTCCAAGAGGAGTACTTACCTCATGTTAGTTAAGGGTTTATTTCAGCAATATGTGACACTGTTAAGCACATCACAGTTTTGAGCGATAATGGTGCTCTGCAAACTCTGCTCTTTGGTGATATTTTGCCATCATCTGAAGAGTCATCAGCTATTTCCGAGGGTTAAAGAGAAGGTTTTTGTGGTTTTACTTGTGCGTCTCCCCCTTTTTTATGAATTTGAAGACAGATTTGGTGTCTCGGTTGGTAAAGGTGGTAGTTGTAGAAACTTTCCTTGTTAAAGGTGTACACTTACCTACTGAGAATGATTTAGCAACAGAAACATGTTTGGCTGATCATGTTTGTCATGAGCCTTGCAACGCCGAAGACCCGGGTTCGATTCCCGACATGGGTACAATGTGTGAAGCCCATTTCTGGTGTCCCCCGCCGTGATATTGCTGGAATATTGCTAAAAGCGGCGTAAAACCATACTCACTCACTCACTCATGAGCCTTGCACTTTGGAAAATACTGAAAATCGTGAAAAAGAAATTCCAGGTATGTTTCCTTCTTCTGTTGTTACTCGTGGTATGGCTAAGCAAATTCTTTCTGAGAATGATTCCAATTATGATAGGCTAGCAATTTTATGGATCATTTTCTTGACCTGTCTAAGTTTTCAATGGAGAATACTAAAACGTTTCGACAATTTGGCTGTTTGGGAACCTTATTTTAGAAGAGAGCAGTAGCTATAGGGAGAAGACTCAGAACTCATTCTCGCCAGTAGGGCACTCTCTTTGGAAGAAGCTGACAAGGTTCCAGTTTGCCATTATTTCAAGAATAGCGTTTTGATGAGAAAAGGGAAGCTGTCAGATGTTTCTGTTGATAATGAATGGAAGGTTTTCCATCATTTTTTTCCAAATTCATATCAAAAACATGTTTTGAGTTTGGGACATGAAATTCCTTTAGCAGGTCATTTGGGGTGTGAACAAAACTTGAGACAAATTTCTATCCCTTTTGTTCTGGCCAAACTCGTGACATGTCGTCACTGAATCTTGCAAAACCTGCCTTGTTTAACAAACGATTGGCAAATATAATAAAAAAAAGTCCCAGCCCCGCCTTTGAAACCTATTCCTGAACCTGTTTTATTTTTGGGCTAGGGATAATTTAAAATTTTGAAAGTTTTGGTATGTCAAGAGCTTTTAAGCATGAACGTTTATACAGACTTCCCTGACAGTGAAATGATACTGTTTCAACTACAGAAGCATAACAATACCATGTTGTGTTTGCAGATGTGACTATGTTTGCTTGTTTTGTCATCAGTGCAGATGATCTTTTGGTCACATTTAATTATCTGAACAATGGACTGAAACTTTCATTGACTGCAGTGTGTTGGAGATGACATATGATCACCTTGCCAGTTAAGAGCATTTCAAAGGCTCTATTTCCATCATGATCAATGTCACATGTGACGCAAGTAGCCTTACCTTTGCATAAATAATGACATTGTCCAAGCAGCGCCAGCTTGTATTTTGTAGACTCCCTTCAATTTATCAGCAGTGCCCAAGATTCCCTTTTCTGAAAGAAATTGTGAATAGGTGGCCCGAGTACATTCAACCTAAGCTCCCAGCACTTCTAGATCAGCCAGACTAAGTCAACACTAGCCTTGACAATGTAAGGGGGAAAGTGCGTGTTTATCTCGTCTCACATTACATCAGGGGCGGTCGGGTAGCCTAGTGGTTAAAGCTTTCGCTCGTCACGCCAAAGACCCGGGTTCGATTCCCGACATTGGTACACTGTGTGAAGCCCATTTCTGGTGTCCCCCGTCGTGATATTGCTGGAATATTGCTAAGAGCGGCGCAAAACAATACTCCCTCACTCACTCACATTACATCAAGATCAATGGTTGTTTAAATATCATTCTTTTTACACTGGATATAAAGCCTAGGGCTTTTAGGAAGCTTGACCACTGTTGCTGCTTGACAAATGTTATTAACCCTGTCTTCTTGCTATCGCAAGTATTTGTATTTTATACTGCCAATGTAATTATACTGACATTGAATGTTGAACTGTCACTCTCCTGTGTACTGCCATTGGAATTGCATTATTTTGTATTGGTTAATAAACCTAATTTATTTTATAATACAATTGTTAATGGTACAACATTTCTTTGTTGTTTGCTTCACACTGAATTCTTTTGCGTATAGGTTTCAGCTGAGTAAACAATTTGGAATTGGACATATAATACCCTACAAAGATAACTTTTAATGTGACGTATTGCTCTTAATGCATCAATGTATGACATCAAACAATATTTTTAGGTATCTCAAAAGGCACATATCAGGTATAACATGATATCTCTCATCGCTTAATCTACACATTTAAGGGTGGGATATTCGTGGTGACGCTGGTTGACTGGTACACCTTCTTCCCATCAACGCTCGTGATTGGCATCCTTGAGTGCATTGCTGTCAGCTGGTGTTATGGTAAGAGCCTTGTGGTTTGCCACCTCTAAAAGCGTTGCCATCCACAAAACATTTCATGTTTCTTTACTTTATAATTTTGAAATAAAAGCAAATATGAAAACTCCAACCCATTTGACGCTATATTCTGCACGTGCGTACAATATGTACTCCATACACTACAGCAAAATACGTCCATATGAAATTGTACTTCAAGCTTCAAATGAGAGCGACAAAACCATTTCCATAATTATAAGAAAGCAATGCTAAAAACAAAATCCACAGTACGTTTGGACTACAACATAAGAATGTGTCCAAGAATCACGATCAAATAGTGATGATACCCTTCGCCACCGGTGGCACTGTCAGAAACACATGTAAAGGCAAGTCAAATGTTTAGCGGTAAAACTTTTGAATAATTTACTATAGCCTAGATTGCTGTAACCCCGATCAAACAACACTTGAGCCAGAGTGGTATAAAGTGTTCTTTAAATTTTAGTATAGAGCATGGTCGATTGTACCTCAAACCTAGTGAAATGTAGACACCAAAGGCTGTAGCTGCTAGAATACTGTTGGAATGAGGGAAAGTTGACAATTGAAATGTTGAAGTTATCCCTATTTTGATACAAAGTATTGGGAGGCTGACGAGACTGACCTACAGTTCCAAATAAATAGTAATAGATTTGCACCTGAGCCTACTACATTCGATCATTTAGATTCAAGATGAAAAGTAATTCTATCACATCAAGGACAAGGTGGTGTTTCCAGCTTCCTTCTTCAGGGAAGAATATTCCGCAAACATGTAATCGACTTCAGTGTTATTGTGTTGTCTACGAGGCTGTATATGAATCAGTTAACCATTCTGTGGACACTTGTCGTTGCTTTGCGCTCCTTACCATCATTTCATTTTGTAAAAATATGTATGCCAGTCTCGAGATATGTGAATGTTAACTGATGATGGATTATTTCCAGGAACAAAAAGACTTCAGGAAGACGTCCGTGCGATGTGGGGAAAGACAATACCTCGGGTCATGGTCATATCTTTCCAGTTTCTGTGCCCCCTATTTTTAGCTGTACGTAATTTTTGACTACTGACACTTCGATACGTGCATACCACGGATGAATCGTTATGCATCGTACAAGAGTACCATTTTATAGCATGGAAATCCATAAATAACCAAAATGTAGACCTTGGGCCTTTGTCAAATCCTTGAGCGCAAATAAAGCGCTAATACACCATTTATAAAATGAACGATTCTGGTACTCCAATGTACAAAGCCAAGACAACTTGCCACCTCTGCTCCACAGTTCCGTGTTTACATCACACACTAAGCTGTAAGGGCATGATGGAACCATATTGTTATAACAATACTCACACACTCGTTGCTTGTTGATTAGTCAGAAATGTATATGCACGTCATGTAACTTGACCCTGATCTTGGAAACGCCCTCAGACTGACACATACATGTACACGTAACATAGTGTAAGACTCACCACATTTTTTGTAGCAAAAGGTGTGATAAATCAAGTTCAGGAATTGTTTCAGAAAAAGAAATGTGAGATAGTGAACTAGACTTGACTTCTTCTTCAGGACAATAATAACTCTTTTGCAGTTTAATAACTACAAAACGTCCCTCTAATCTCTAAAGTTAGAAGTGAATAAAGTTAGACGATGTTGTCAGCAATATTCCAGTCATATCTAAGTGTCCTCTAAATATTTTATATCTGTGGACCAAACACAGGAAGACGTTTACAAGATAAAGCCTATTCTCATGTTCGAGGAACGATGTCCCAGTCAATTGGTCGGATGTAGATGCACCTGATATCAGTGCTTGTGATTGATTAGCACTGACATATTTTTTAGGGGAGTAAAACGAAAGCTTAGCCAGGTTTATGGAGGTGAAATTTATCATGTCATTTTAGTAGACTCTTTCAACCTTCATGCGGTACTGGGCTCGTGTCAGTCATGTTCTTTCAATCTATTCTTAATGTATGACAACATAGGCTTCAATTATAAAAAAATGGTTTGGTCCTCGTGCATGAGACCTACAGTATTTGTCCTGATATGCTTACGGGGTGTACAATAGCGACGAGTTTAGTATGAAGATATCCACACGATTCTCAGGTTTGTTGATTGAGGACTGAAAAGCATAACCAGACCGTGTTTATGTGTCATACTCTATCTGTTGTACCAGGTGATCTTCTGCTACTCTCTCTACTCCTACCGACCCCCAAAGTACCATGACTACATCTACCCTACCTGGGCAACAGCTGTTGGATGGCTCATAACCTTTGTGACACTCCTGCCATTACCGACTGTTTTCATCTGGACGGTTTACAACAGTCCAGGGGCAACTATGAAAGAGGTAAACAAAACGTAAACGCTCGAACCTATCTGAATCTCTTGTTCCGCTTGACATGACAATGCAGTAAATGTATGCTGTCAGTTTAGCTTATGTTTGTTTTTTGCGTGCTGTGTTAGTAGACTTAGAACAGTTGGCGAGATATGGATCGTGCAGCAGTTATGAATAAAATTAACACTTTGGGAGAAAATGCATGGATTCTTGTAATGTTGATACCAATTAATATTTTGTCAATAATGCTTTTTTATGTGAACGTTGTTCTAATTACCAAACACATATTTATCTAGAACTACGAGTGTTTTATGCACTTGTCGCACAAACGCGCCATGTCGGGATACATGAGACTCATTTTCTGATCACATTTTCTTCCCTGAAGGATCACGTGCTTGTCACATATTACCAACTTTTTTATGTATATTTAACCAATATCTTTTGATGATATCGACCCATTTCAGAAATTGAAGAAATCTCTCGAACCAAATGAATACTGGAGACGATCACCGCAGGAGGAAGATGTCACTGATGTGTTACAGCCAATGGCTATACTTCCGGCTTACACCGGCTAACAAGGGAAATGTGTAAAGTCTTGAGAAGCCCAATTATTTGTCTTTAGATCTTTTCTAGTAATATATTTCTGCACACATATAATACTCTAGGTTTTGTGTATTGAGAATGTCACAGATCTTTCTGTGTTGACTATATGCTGTGGAGGGGTATTTTCTATAATAATTTAGTATTAAATTGGATATTAAAATATTGTCATACATTTTCTGCATTGTGTGGTCAGCAGTTAGAAACAATGCACTCTGACTAAGACAACACTGACAATGATAACATTAAACGAACAGCAAGAGTCACAGTATACTTATTACAATTGAATATCATACCACTCGTAATAATGTCGGCATGCATACACCCACCACTGATCGTACATGAAGTTTGTAATGTGTCATGAAGTGTTTCCTGTCTTATCCTGAGAGTGAAGACCTCAAAGAATTAATCTCACTGAAATAGAACTTTAACTTGCTGATACATGTGACACACATACCTTTACTTGTTAAAAGTAAAGGGTCGTATTCCATACTCCTGTCGTGTTCATGATGCTAGGGTTTAAATATGCCCTATAGTTTAACGGTACTTACATGGTGAGCAGTATTTCAGTTCTTCCACTTTGATTGTGTTTGAAAACCTAAAATGTTGCAGGTTAGCACCTTGGCAAGTTCAGAACAAACTATCCGAGAACGCATATACTAATTACACACTCAGCAGTACGCACATTACAGTTGACAGCAAGTTGGGTTGTTTCTGTCAGTGACTGAGAGAGAATGTTTTCAGGTTGTGTTGAACAATATTTTAGTAATATACTGCAGGCGACACCAGAAATTGGTGTCACACGTTGTACCCATATAGGGAATCTAGTCCGGTACTTTGGTTTGACTAGCGAACGCTTTGACCACTGAGCTACCCTGGGTTGTTTCAAAGGAAGGGGGAGAAGATACACAGCATAACCGAATAGAGGTGAACGTGTAACAAGATGGAAACGAGTTGAACCTGTTGAAGGAAGTTGCACACAGCCAAAAAAGTAGAGGTTTCCGTTTCCGGAAATCTCCCCGAAATCTTCTGGATACCTTCCCACCTTGAAGGTGCATTTTGTTTAATTAAGTATGAACCACATATAAAAATATTTGAAACTTACCAAGAAAATTGAAGATTGCTGAAGATATCCGGAAGGTTTCTGGAAGGTATCCGGATGCAAATTCATGTCTTGTTTCTTGTAAATAATGTTAGCCTGGGGATATCAGATAGCTGTAGTAATATTCAGTGTTATTTTAGTTGTAAATATCTTCTTATAAATATCTCTGGGCATGTACTTTTGGAGAAGACAATATTTCAATTACATTTAAATTTCTTTTTCGATGTTAAGCTTATGTAATTCACAAACATAAGTTCTAGTATGATGATATCCTCAAATTTCATGTGCAGACTTTCAGTTTGTTCTGAATAAAAGTATTAAAATCATGGACTATGTGCTCACTTGGGCCTTTGGTCTGGGCTATCGAGGAAATAAACCCATTATGATGGCCCAAGTCAGAATGATTTGTAACAATGAAAATATAGCTTATGCTATTCAATGAAAGTAGGTCACTGTGAATTGTTACCACTGTTCATATATATGTATTTAAATAATATAACAACGACATGCATAATACTTGACAAATATCTCAAGAAATAGACATCTTATTGATAATGGAAAAAACACACTAAAGGAATAACCTTCACTACTGCCATGACCTTACACTTCTACCCTCCAGTGACAAATATTTATCAAAAACATTTTAAAGAGCTATCCAGCACATAAGCCTAATATGATGTCCTTTGGTGGAATTCAAAGTAACATTGACAAATATATGAAAATATAGCCACTGTATGTATAAGAGTTACTAAGACTTCAGCAGAAAAGAGAAATATAGAGAAACGTGTAGTATATGTAGGTCACGCACGACCTTTTTCCAACTTCGACCACTGCCCTAAGGACGAGTTAGAGTTTTGAGTGTGTCCCGGTACCACTTGGCTGACAACTTCTCGGTGGGCCTAAAGTAACAGGACATTCCTCATCGCTGTCTGCCAATCACCGCTGATATCTGGAGGGGTGCACTTTCTGTAAAGGACACCCTCATCTGGTCCTTCCAGACTGCCGACCTTGAGTTCTTATCCAGGGATCAAGCGGCGCTTCAGTTTCTGCAGAGTTATGTATAAAGATTGTAGCAATCAAAAAGAATTGTTGCCACATGTATTTACAGATAGAAGGCAGCACGTTCACTGGATGTATCATATGTGTATCATGTTATATACCAAACATTTAAGATATATATTGTTCCATGTTGATGATTGGAACAATAAGTAACTGACATCTCTTTAAAACGTTCCAAGCAACCTATACTTGCCATACAAGCCAAATTAATAGATCAGGTAGTTAGTAGGCTCATTGATCGCATGTAACCGCACCCCAATGACGTGGGATATTGTCAATAACAGTCATCATCGATTTGTCTGGACCGAGTTCATAACAATAATCACTGGATTGTCTGGTAGAGATTTGAGATTTGTCTATTTACAATCCTTGTCACGTAACCGAACTATTTCTGAATGTGGTGTTAAATGAGTGAGTTGGGTTTAACGCTGCTTTTAACAGTATTCCAGTTATATCACAGCGTGTTGGCCTGATGTGGGAAGAAAGCCCGTAGTGATGCAGGTCTTAGGCCCTTACCACTATAATAAAACCGACCAGCATGTGTATGATGCTGACAAACCTAGAAACATATCCGGGGCGAACCCAAGGGATGCAACAGCAAATTGTGGTGCCTTAGACACTTGGGCAATCCGTGCCCACACAGTGATAAAGAATAAACAAACTGAAGTAATATTTGCAGAATAGCCATATGAACATGATGACCCAAACAAAATATTTTCAAAATATTTATCATTCACTGCTGCTCTTCTCTTGTTTCTCATCGCTTCTCTTCTGTGGTCTTCCTTCTTTCCATAAGTAGCATTCACATTACAGAAATGTCGAAACTGTACCTGTTGTACATTTGATTCAATTGAAAAGACCCAACTTGAGATTCCTACTTGGAATTGCCTTTATGAAGTTAATCATGTCAAACATTCAGAGATGAAATTATTGCTAAATTTTCTTGAAACACAGATTAATACAGTATTTTCTTTTGTTTCTAGACTATTTTTTGTCTGGCTTTTCCACGGCACTGTTTGACACAGGTCTAACCTTGATATGACACATTGTTCAGAACAGATAAGAAGAAAATAATACTTTATTATCCTCAAGGAAATGTTGGTTAGATCATTAAAGCACAGAGAAACAAGTAACTGGATCATGATTTAAATCAAATACATGGACACACACATAAACAGCACGACAAAACGAAACCCAAACACTAATCAATAAAAATTGACAGAAGTGTTTAAAAGGGAAGCATGTGAGGCATAACTGAAAAGGTACCTATGTTCGGTAAATGTGGTAGATCAAGGAAATAATAATACATGGTTTGATTTTAAGGACACGAATACTGACTGGTACGAAAGACTGACTGTCCCTGTTTGTTTTCATTTTCGTTATGCACTGTCGACAATTAGAAGATAAAAGCTCAAACTTGTAGTGATTTTGTTTACTATGTCGATGCGGGATTCTCTGGGTGATTCGATGTTAGTGTCCCGGTTAACTGATCCAAGGGACGTTACTCTGTATACTTTATGAATAAAGACACATGGTACGATACTGCGAACGGTGATGGGCTTGTGTTGTCTGTCTTTAGTTACTGGGGTGAATAGTTTATTAAATGAAGCTTGAATACAACAATACTTCGAAAACTAAGACATGTGAACTGTCATTCAAACTTTTGTGACTGTGTGCCTTCTTCACAATTTGCTGTTCATAATACATTATTTGCAATTGTGTGTATTTTATTTTTGTTAGAAACAGACAGACCCCCATACCAGCAGAAACTGAAAGATACAACAAGGACATAACAGTGTAAACAATATTACAATATCTAAAGCGACAAAGAAAATAAAGTCTTTGCTGGTCCTTTTTGTAAATATAATCTGTATTGGCATCCCACGAAGGTTTTGAGTCAATAATGATGCCGATGTATTTGTACTCATTGACGACTTTTATGTTCTTCATTATCTATCAAAAGCGGATCTAGTTTGGACCTTTCGTTTTTGATCACCTTGGTTTGACTACCAATCTCTTGTTCTGACACTGACATTGTAATGTATTCAAACACACACACGCACACACACACACACACACACACACACACACACATGGAAAAACACAATATTGCTGAACAATAATGTACCATCACATTGTATTTTATCCACACACGCACAAGGCGACAAATCTGTATGTACATTTACATTGTAATTGATTATTATTTAAAAAACAAAACAAATAATTGTCAAAATCATATTGAATACGTGGGTACATCAATGCCATTATTCACATGTGTTTAATAATATTCCTCCCTTAACATGGCAATAGACACGGAATATAGCAACTGTTCCCCAAGTGGAAATGGTTTGGTCCTTACATTATAACTGGTCAATTAAGTAACACCGTTTTGTTTCCAAACAAGTCAACTTTTTGTCTGGGAATCCATGTAGCTGCCCATATAACAATCAGCAAGTCAAAGATGCAGGTAATGCGTGTGTTCCGAGCCTTGAGGCAGATACCACTTGAGATGTATAGAAACTTGTCGTTTTTACATTACTAATTGACAACATAATCAGAAAACATTAAGAAAGACAAAAAACATAGTATAAATCTGCAAGTATTATTTAGTGCTAACGGTCTGTTTAATATTTGTAAGGCGAGGGAAATGAGCCAAATGCCTTGTCATTGTTTGCATGTTTGTTTTGTACGAAACAGGGTGTCTGGAGTTGGGTGTAATTACTATTTTTGTTGGGCCTTGTTCATTTAACAAAGTAAGTAATTGACACGTTTTACAACCTACAACATGTACAATGAATGGTCATTATGGAAAGTAATTGATTTAATAATTTAAAGGTTTAGTGGAATGTTCAATAAAATCTGTAAGAGCTGAAATTTAAATTTTAAATAAATACATAAAAAATATTGAAATTATTGTTTGATATTATAACACCTTCATGGTTATTCACATGTTAAGGTACTAAATTCTTTATTGGTGAAAAGTGAAAGGCACATCTTTGTCCAAATACAATGGTAAACAGTTACTACAAATGTAAATATACCACATCGAAATAACAAGGCGTCAAGCATAAACTCTAGCACTTGACAAGGCAAGTTTGACAAGAATAGTTTTTATATGCTGGTCCAAAGAGGTGTCGTAATAGATCGACAGAAGATTGGTTGATGTCACGTTATCTATACCCGACGGCATAGATCATTGCGATATCGGCGGGGAGTCTTGGTTAGAATTGGTGGATACTTAATGAATCGGGTGGACAGACTCAGTTGTCATCATACCCTGAGGGCATTGATCTTTGCTGATAATAACAATAGCTAAATTGTCTGGTCTGCTCAATTATCTACAGGCCGCCATCACAGAGCTGGAATATTGTCACATTGCACTGTAATACACCATATTGTATACGCGTAGTTTGAAATTATCACACAAAACAAATACTCACTCAGTACTCATCCATTCCTGAGGAGGTCTGTGGATCTCCCCACAACGCAGAACATGATGAAACAGAAAACAGCTAACCTGTCTTAATCCTTTCGAAGTTTCAGTGTGAACTTGTTGAAATTTCGTTGGCTGACATTGCTCACCGTAATCCATATCTCACTTTCTTGAAAAACATTGTGCTTTAGGTGGCAACACATGCTTGGAATGGAATACACATTTTTTGTGACATGCACATTGCCAGTTTTATACCATTGGTAACTAACCCTAATTATCATAAACAATTGATCAGAATAATAAAAAATAGTTCTAAATCCTAAAAGGCCCTTGATGTTTACAATAAAACATTGACATTGAGTTTGTTTTCATCCCTATTTCAAAATGGCGCCCTCGACCGTGGAGGGAATCATGGGTAAAATGGCTTGTCCCGGAATAACACCAGTGGGTCACGAATGACTCTGATCACAATCGGTCATTTCTGCATCGGTTACTGAAAGGGGCGAGGTTTGCCGATTACAGTTCAATGATGGCCATATTGGGAGCAGCGGGAATTCGACAGTGTGTATTAGGAAGTACCCGTACGTCGTTGTATGGAAAATGTGGTTGTCTAGCATGACTAGCTATAAGGCAGCATGACAAAGGGATACTCCAGCGGACGTGATATTCTTTCAGAAGAACCGTTTCGCAATCACGTCAAAATTGGCCAAAAACTGCAGCTGAGGTGTTGCAGGCCTAGGAGCTGAAGGGGCAGATCCAGGTAAGTGAATATTGTAATGATCACGTATTATAATCATTTACCACGTGTAAGCCACTCAATTATGACGCATTCACTTTTATATAAGTAAGTAAATGTATGATATTATTTTTTTGGGACAAGTAGCCTATCTATCTGATGTTAATCCTTGTTTATGTATATGATGTATAAATACGTATGTTTTACTTCCTTTAACTAGATACTCTGTATGCTAATGTGACTCATATTCTTATTTCATATATGCACTGTACTCAGTGAGAATGATTAATAGCCTAAACTTACTTTTGCAGATGTGAATATCAAGAACAAATTGATTGACAGGGAAGATTTGCAACAGTGAAGATAATGAAATGGAAGATACGATATTTTAAAGGTATGGACATTTTCACTTGAACCTGTTGAGCAATAACCATGATGAGAACTTTATCATGTGGGGACTTTAGGCGGTGGGGTAGCCTAGTGGTTGAAGCGTTCACCCTTCATGCTGAGGACCCAGGTTCTATTTGACTCATTTGTTGTGTCAAGAAAATGCTGCATATTATATAACATGAGGTACATGCTCATTTGAGCCTTGACGGCCTCCGTGGTCTAGTGATAGAGCGTCCGCCCGGAGAGCTGAAGGTCCTGGGTTCGATCCCCGGCGATCCAGACCAAAAGACGTTTAAAGATGGTTACCCTGTCTGACGCTCGGCATTAAGACGCTGTTAAAACAATGACTGGTCTGCTCGAGGTCAGGATACTGTGTCTTAGTGCGTAATCTCAGTGGGCTAGCACTATAAATCGGCGTCAGTCCGGACTAGTACTAGCAGCCACACGTGCATGCACGCCGCTATATAGATGCAATAATCGTGGAGGCGACGTTAAACCCCATTTCACCTCACCTCTTTTGAGCCTTAGGTATCTTATAAGATACACATGCATCATTTTGCGCCTATAAGTATACATTACTGTATGAATCAGTGTGAAACAGTGATGCTACCAGGTGCTCACAAACAGGTGAGCATATCCTGCCCCATCGTTGGCACCCGTCACAAACCTATGTAAAGGCAAGTCCGAGGCTAAACCCAACTCAGTAACTTTTTAAACGACATAAGTTAATGATCATATGCATCACATAGGATGAGGACACAAACTTGAAATCATTATGCACATACATATTCTGTATATTCTGCAAAGTTATTCATTTTCCAACGCTGCATTGTCATGCAGTGCTTATTCGTTGCCCCACGAGGTCCATAGTTCAACACAAATACAAGGTATCCGTGTTTCTTCTAACAAGGTGAGGTGAAATTGGGTTTAACGTCGCGTCCAAGATTATTGCACTTATATGGCGACTGCATGTACGTGTGTGTGTTTGTGTGGCTGCTTGTACTAGTCCGGACTGATGCTGATTAAAAGTGCCAGCTCACTGAGATACCATGCCGCAGTTTAACATGAATACCCCACTCAGACACAGTATACTGACTCCGAGCCGACCAGTCCTTGTTTTAGCCCCTTAATGCCGAGCGCCAGACAGGGTAACAACAAGTACAATCTTTTAACGTCTTTTTGTATGACGCGGCCCGGGATCGAACCCTGGACCTTCCGCTCTCCGGGCGGACGCTCTACCACAAGACCACGGAGGCGGTCTCAAACGAATGGTCTACGCAGAGACCATATACCGAGGGACAGGCCTCAGGGCTAATTAGTAACTGATCACCGCCGCGCGAGACAAAGCGATGATTATCGCGTGACTGTGCGAGATCTGCGAAATTTGACGGCTCACGTGCGAGTGTATACGGACTTGATTTCATTCATCTATTTCATCCACGGTAAGTTATGTTACTTTTCTTGATTTTGTAAAGGACGACAATCATATATCAGTTATCTGTCAAACTTTATGTTGCTGATAATATCTTCTAAGGAAAACTGAATCACGCACTCTCCCGATGCTCTTCATTGTACGCATAGAAAATGGCGGCCCCCTCGAAATCTGGAAAATAGTCATTTTCCTGATGCATATAAGTCTAGTGAAATGTAATTTAAGTCCTTAGTTACTGGGGTGTATTAAACGATATGTGATTAGTCTCTGTAGCTGTATAATTTGTTTCGTAGTATGTATTGGTAATCTGTCAAAAACGGCAGTCACAATACATCAGTAATTGCAATTCTGTTATTTCATCATGCTGGTAACTCGTCATTGTGCTACATCTAATGGTACACTTATTTCGGTAATTAATTGCTACAAGAAGATTTCACTTTCATTTTTGCATTGAGCGCTATTTTGTGCATGTAATATGATAAAATATAATATTTTTCAATCTAACATTTGACTTTTTACGATGTTTTGAAAACCACCATAAATCAGAGCAGAAGCCAAACACGATGTTGAACGCCAGTTAGCAAAGTTCTTATGCCTAGAGTACGCAATAATTTAAACTATCTGACGGAAATGTAGGGAATATTTATTTTGTTTTAAAATGTAATTTTCGTGTTTTTTCTCCTCTGTCACATCTTGTAGATCAGATGTTTTATAAACTCAATATTTCACTGTCCTTCTGGATAAAGCCAAACCCACTTACCATTCTATGGTTACTTCAGATAATTTTGCAATATGGACATTCAAATATTAGCTCAGAATTACAAGTGCATATTTGTCTTTTTTTCATTTGAATTTTTTTTTATCCAGATGCCACGTTACAAAAAAGGTAACAGAAGGAATCCTATCCAGAAATCAAAACAAGAAGGAGTACCGGGATATATGTGATCCCCGTTTGGATTATTTATTGAATGATTTCTTGAACTTTTTTAAATCATGGGAGGAGAGTGTCATAAGGCGTCCAGGTGACATTTCATTAGCGCAAAGGAGACGTATGATGCTCTGTCATCAGACATTGAAAGGACTACACATATCTGTTCAGTCAATAGTAGAATGTGTGAGGTTCTTGTTGACTAATGGTGCTGAATATGTGTTGACTCATAGATTTAATCAGGACCCACTTGAGGAGCAGTTTGGACAATATAGGCAAAAGGGAGGTGCAAATGACAACCCATCAGTGTATGCCATAAAGCACATGTTTTCAGAGATGAAAGTTATAGGTTCATCTGCCCTTCAACCTATCAGAGGCAATATCTCTCAGAAGAGAGGTGCAGCAGTAGCCAGGGTGGATGATTCACCTATGTCAAGAAAGAAACAAAAGCGTTTGAATTAAAACAATAACATGTCTTTATTTGTTCACTTCTATTTTAGTTTCCGGATTCCTTCAACGCACCCCTGAGAGATCGGCTCCTTTTAATGCCCTTGTGTTTCCTGCCACCCCTCATTTCCTTCTGTAGCTGACGTTTAGAGTATTTAGCAACAGCTCCCCCACGTACACGTAGGAACAAGTCCACAATAAACTCTAACATTTTCAGTTTCAATGAATCACCACAGGAGATTTATTGGTCCCAATGGTACGAAACCATGTAATTTGTCATTATGGTTTCTTTAAGTTTGTCACATAGGAGTGACGAGGCACACAACTGAGAAAGTTCAACTTTTGTCCTCATCTCAATCTCAAAGGACCTCACAAGTAGGTAAAAATTGCTACTGGGGAATTTAAGACCTCCTCTGCTCATTTTCTGTGTCCACTTACTAAATTTCTCATTGTAGACACTCTTCGAACTTTCATCAGAAGATGCAAGCCATTCTTCCACGTGCATGTCTATGTCTGTACCACAGATCATCTTCTTCTTTAAGACAGCATGCAAAATGTAGCCTGCTACATAAAACAACACAGCTTGGTCATTATCACTGATTGTGGATGCTGTTTGTTCGAAATGTTTCTTTTGTGATTCTGAGATATATTTCAGAATATTTCGCATAATGCGGTCCATGAGACATTGGGCAAAGATATGAACAATCCTCTGTGACTCGCTTGTCATTTTCACCAAAATGCTGTGCAGGTCAGACTGCAATTCATCATTGAGTCTCATCTGATGAAATTTCATCCACAGTTGTTCTCTATCAGCAGAAAGAGAACAGCCATGTCCAAACTTGTAAAAAACTTCTTGAAATTCTGGGGTAAGGACAGAAATAAGTTTTTCCTGAACTGTTTGATTGTCCATACATTCTTTGGCTATAGTAACGAGATGTGGACCATTCACGGAACACGAAGAGTCATTCATTGGATCCAAGATAACGGTAGAGATTGACTTAGTCAAGACAGCTTTCAGAGCATCCTGCATGTCTGCTATCGTTGACATGGGAACTGGTGGGTTTCCTGTGCAGGTTGAACCTGGAGGGCTGCTTCCACCAGGAGAGTCTTGTCGATGTTCGTGTGCTAAAATGAAAATGATATTGATTTATGACATATTCAAGTGACAAATATTGGTAGGTGATAATTACTAAGAAATGTATTGACAATTAAGTAATTATGAACTGGTGACCTGATATATATATTGTTAAAACCAAACAACACATGTTGACAGAAATAGTGCAATTATTTCAATAGTTAGCCCTCGTCTTGGTACTGGGCAAACAAGTCTTATAAGGTAAATTTTGGCTTATATCTGTAACACAATAAAATATGGCAAGACTGATGTTTGACGTCTACAATAACAAAACAGCTTCAAGTATTTGAATAGCATGTGTTGCGTACATTTGCAAACCAGCATGTTAATGCTGACCACCATCATAAAACTGTTTTACAGACAATGTGAAAATAGTGTAAATTTCTGATAAATTGTATTGTTGAATAAAATGTGTTAATCATTGTTGACGTTAATTTCAAAGATATTTATAAAAGACCTTTACAAAAAATGTATATGTACGTAGATTGAATAAACAGAACTCACCTTTAATATCTGATCTGTTGTGTTTCTTGGTAACATGACCACGGAAGCCCCCGATACTCATGTAAGTTTTTCGGCACAGTGGGCAAGCATATCTTGCTTTCTTGTTTTCCTTCTCGTGATCTTTTGCCTGTTTTGGTCCAGTAGTCGACGAAGCTTCGTCATAGACTGGACTGTCAGTGTAGTTGTCTCCATCGAAGCATTCGTCAGACGGTTGCTCTATGTCATAATCAGTATAGTCGCCAAGGAGTAGGTCTAAATCTAAATCAGAATCGTCCCAGTGTATAAAGTCGCCCATATCGAATGAAAATGAAAAATAACATGATCGAGTTTGCTTTATAAAAGGATATAAATCCGACAGCCGAAGCATTGTTTACGATACAGCCGGAAGTATTAGTATTCGACATCTGCGTCTGCGCGAAAACAAAGGGAATTAACTTATGACACTAAAGCGTTGCGTAATATGATTTGCCTGACAACGGAAGTACTCCGATAAGAGCATGTGCGCATATGCCATGCATCTTGACCACAGCCGAGAGTAAAGCCGCAGGGGTCCTCGGTGTATCGCTTACACTCATTACCGCGGCAGTGATCGTTAATGATAATCTACTGCTGAGGCCTGTCCCTCGGTATATGGTCTCTGGTCTACGTTAATATTTCATATACTCTGCCAAAAGAGTAGGGGATAGTAGGAATCATCAAGGCGTATCTTCTAATCTATATGATTTGGCACATGAAAATGATGTGATCAGTGTTGTTGGGGAGTAGGCGATCAAATCTAATGTGTTCTAATGGTTGGTGTGATGAGATGGTGGCTGCCCTAGGTCGTTAAAAAGATCAGGGGTCAAATTCGAAAAATGCATTTTGCAGACAACGTCACAAATATGGGTAAGTCTATCTCTGTTGGCCAGAGATGCACGAATTCTTCGAGGCATGCTTCTGTTTATCATCTTGAACAATGACAGGTTGCCCTGCACGTTGTGCAAATGGCACCACAAGGGGTGCGATGATGTTTTCCCGATAGTATTGACCTGTGATTCTGCAAAAGACACCATGGAGCCCAGTTCGGCCAGTCATTGTGATACTACCCCATGCCATTATGGACCCACCCCAAAACGATCGTGCTATACGTCGTTAACGTCCTTACCGCTGTTTCCGTTTATTCTTCCATAAACGCAAATGTATGATATCGAAGTCAATTCTCATCGAACCTCTCCCAAACTGGTTTAATGAATATTCTGAAGTTGCACCACATATTTACTGCCACAAAAGTACTGTTCTTCAGTCCGTTTTTTCTTTCCGGGGGACTTTAGGTTTCAACGCTCTTCAACGCTCGAACTAGCAAGGCAATTTCGCCCGAGACGCATATTCTCTGGTTCATTTTGCAAAGGGACAGCTCATTTGATATTCTTATATGCCTGGGATTTCTTTAAGACAGCTTCATGACTTACATTTTGTTCTATGAGAGGAGGAGCCAGACAGAGTTAAATTTATTTTCACCAGTATGTTTAATGGTAGGTCACTTAGCGGATAGTGTTTCAAACAAAGATACGTTTTACCACAGCCAATATATTTCTTAATACTCGCCCACTCTTTCCAGATGTTTTATGCAAACTGTTTATAGAATATATGTTATACACTATTCGCCTACGTGCTTTCGATGCTCAAATACATCCTTACGAAGTCACCTATTGTATTTAGCAGATGCCTTGCTATAGCAAATAGCAAATAGAAAGCCGACTGTTGCTCAATATTTAGCTTTAACGTTGGTAAATATTGAAATCGGTAGATAGGTCCACTGTAAACACAGCTCGGTAGGTAACCAGCTCGTTCAATAGATTCAGTCTTAAACCATCCATCCAGACATAAGTTCTTTTATAAATTCAAGTTGACTTAAGTTGGAGGAAGCTTAGTATTAAGTTATTCTCTGGTCACCAAGATGGGAATGTCGGGTAGCTTAGCTGGTTGAGGCTACTTTCATGACAACGAAATGTCTCAGGGTTTGGTCCCTGTCGTACAAATACAATTAATATCATAACTGATCGGATTTAGATCTTTATGGACCGACCATTATATACACTCTTCCTCCTCCCCCCCCCTCTCTTTGTCTCTGTCTCTCTCTCCCCCATTTTCCGTCTCTCTCTGTTTCTCTCTCTCTCTCTCTCTCTCTCTCTCTCTCTCTCTCTGCGGGTGTGTGTGGACGGGTGGTGTGGGTGGGTGTGGGTGGGTGGATATATGTATGGAAATTACGATATTTTCAGCTAAAGCTGCAAAACCACATATTTAAATAATTAAAACTGTGAGCCTAAGTATTATTTTTCTAAAAAACACCCTGCAAGACCTTATCATTATTTTTCAGGCATTGTCGGGGACAACATATTTTTATCGAGAAAATCCTGGCGCCCCCATCGGTGGGGAAAAATCCAGCAACCCCGTGCTTTGTAGTCCCCCACTCTACCACCTGTGCTAGAGAAACTGTTGTCGTTACAAATATTCCGCGTCAACACGCAGTAACCCAGCTCGGTTTGTATGTACATATTTATGTTAATATTGTACCAAGTTCTTGGAAAGTCGTCGTGGTACATCGTTATGCAAGTGCCCGATGATCGCATTTACACAACTTATTCCAACATATTCTTAACATCTCATCGACTCTGACATACATGAAATGACCAAACATATGCATATTATTAAACATGTATAAATTCTAATGTATTGAAACACAAAATTAAATTCTGAACATTTGTAGTATTTAAACATATTAAGATTCTAAACATGTTTATATCATTGGGATGTTGTGTTTAGGTTGTTTCATACACCCACCTAATTTTGTTATTATTATTACTCACAACAGCTGTTGTTACTTGTTTCTGATTAGTGATATTCGCCTATGTTTCGGTTTACCTTGGACACAATCTTAAAAACCCGTTTAATCACAAGTGACAATATGTAAAACAAGTAATTGTTCATTTAAATGTAACGATGAATGAGTCATTAAGTTTATTTGGACTTCATGGCAGATAGATATATTTTCTTACCATGGACCAAGACAGCCCCATTGCCTGACGTCTTTCATGGTGTAGAATACATATGTACCAAACAAGTGGAGACTACAAAATACAGAACCAAATCATCCTTTCACTGAACTTTCGTTGTGACTGGTCAACATAGACTGCCATGTGACCAACCTACAATTGCATCATGTGTACAAAGTTGTAGCATATACATCATACAAACAAGTGGTCAATATTTAGATACCTTAACAAGGCATAAGAAGAATGCTGGTTGCGTTGCCAGCTGTAAGTGTAGAAACGTGTCCTTGGGAGACATAATGTCCTCCCGTACAGCGAGCACCATCATCAGCAGCTGGGCGACAACACGTTATTGTAGCATCAGTCGATACAAAAGACCTGCTGCTTGTGTTTGGTCAGTATAAATATAGCTGTTAACAAATAAGTCCAAAGTACATACGATTGTTAAACAAAGAGTAAGTACTGCCACTTGTATTCGAGAGACAGTTTTTCTCATTAGTAAACCATTTCGTTTGTTGCAAAAGAGTCAATAAAGTGAAAATGTGTCGAATCAATGCACTGGTGGCCTGCTGTTTATATGCATGAATGTGACGAATCAGAATATGTTTGGTTCCCGTGCCTATTGACGTCACGGGCACCTGTTGTTGGTTATGGTTGCTATAAAATGCAGCGGCTCTAGGGTTCTGAACATCTTCATCATGAGGTCGTTGCTGGTGCTGTGTTTGCTGGTCTTCCTGACTGTTGCCCTCGTGGGTGGACGTCGTCGGGATCGCAGATGGAATGGTCGGCAGAGCTACGGCAACCGAGGAAGTCGATACGGCAGATTTAGGAGACCAAACAGAGGCTACCGTCAGTCGTAAGGGTTGCTGTATATCATACATGGTTGGAACGTTTTTGTTACCCTGTAGAGAAAGATTATCTCATATTCGAATAATTATAACATTTTGTTTTTCGCAGGGAAAATTAAAGGCTCTAATGTGAGACATGTTAGGTGTCCCTTACATATTAGCAGAAACCTTTAGGCCAATTATAAGTGTTATAATTATTATTATTTATCCTGCCTTATATACTCAGTCAATAGTTCGTTGGTTACGTCTTTACACATTTGTCATCTCTATTATTTCTATAGATTTGGGTTATTTCACATGTTTCTTCGTTTATCTATATGTGCATTAACAAATAATATACGTATGTTTATGATTTTGTTACAAGCTACAACTCCCACAACCACCACAACCATCACAACCACCACGACCACCACGACCACCACTACCAACCTGCTGATCATCCTACACTACATCCCGTTACCTTCCCATCAGATCTCTACAACCAGCTTCCAGAAAACATTCTCGGCAACGCTCTGTGCTTCATGCTAGACACCAGAGTTCACGCCCGAATTGAAGCTTTAAAAGCCATATATAGAACCTATCCAGAGAAGAAAGCTGTCCAAATCGTCATCAATATGAACCAGATGATGCACTCCAACATACAGGAAGGTCTCAGTGGTTTACGCGATGAAGGTAAAAGAGTTGTTCATAGTTTATTATAACGTTCATAACAAGTTTATGTGAAACAATAGATGTCCTCCCAAAAGCCTTCTGACAAAATATGCCTCCTGAGAATAAACGATTGCTCAAAATTTAGTACTGAAATCCATAATTTGATATTATCACGATTCTGTACCCATTATTATTATTCTTATTTTTAATGGATTTTACTGATTAAATGAAAACAGAACCATCAACAAAATCAACACTGACATTGAGATTATGTCCCACATCCTTGGCTCGTTTTAGAAAAATGTGGAATGCCTTATTTTCATCATGAGTCTTGACATGCTTTACAAGAGGATCATCAGACAAATAAATGTGTGCAAAAGTGAACAAAGGAGGGAAGAACGAATTATTATCATTATTATTATTATTATTATTATCATTTGCAGCGCTCACTGCCATGTCCCCTGCTGGAAAAGAGAAGTTATGCAATCTGCTACAAAACATGCCTAACAGCTACAACGCCTGCGGCTTCCAAAACCTCATCAGCGTCTTGGCCGACGAGTGCACACCTCAAGTCTCCCAGACCCCCGTGCAATCAACACCCACGATAGCTGCACCAACTACAGCGAGGGCAACTACAGCTGCACAAACTACAGCGACATCAACTACCACTACAACTACAACCACTACAACCACTACAACCACTACTCCCACACTAAGTAAGTTGCAAGTCAATGTCACTTTATTAGCATTTTTTCGTCAGAATGTCCGTCAACCAACACTCTTTGGATTTCGAAGTCGCATCCGCAAGACTAAAAAAATGAGAGTCCTCCTGTGCTAGGTTGTTTGTTTGCATTTCGCACCGTCACAGCCATCCGTGCTTCTCAGAATAACTTCCCTAACCAATGACATCTTCCATCATCAGAGACCAGACCAACCAATCCCCAAATGTGGACCTGATCCCCGCAACAGTCATATCGATCTTGGATAGATATAAACAATAGTCAACATCTACGTCAGCAGACACCATAATCATGTACATGACACTGATTTCAAGGATATACCACATGATATTTTAGCCTGTTTATATTATCGTTGTATGACTAACACGTTTGCTGTTTAGTAATGAAAATGGAATTGACAACGATTGGTTTCCTTACATGTTTTAAAACATTTGTGATGAGACAATGCTGCTTCTACTTTAAAGACTGCAACGATATAAGTACGATCCGACGAGTTGCCATAACAACAAGAATTGTTGGAGGCTTCGCAGCACAGCAGGGTGCCTTCGACTCCTACGCCTCCCTCAACATCGGAGGCAGCTCTAACCCCGTGTGTGGAGCTACGATCATCGACTCCTGCACTATTCTGACAGCTGCACACTGTGTTAAGTAAGTACATCCACGCTCTACTGCCCATTGTGTTACCCTTCTGTTTATTCTGGTCAATCAGTACATCGACATTCTACTGCCATTGTGTTAAGAAAGTACATCCACGCTCAATGTCCATTGTGTTAAGTAAGTACATCGACACCCTCCTGTTTATTCTGGTCAGTAAGTACATCAACATTCTACTGTCCATTGTGTTAGGTAGGGGCATCGACATTCTACTACCATTGTGTTAAGTAAGTACATCCGCGCTCTACTGCCCGTTATGTTAAGTTGGTGAATAGACATTCTACTGCCATTGTGTTAAGTGAGTACATCCGCGCTCTACTGCCCATTATGTGAGGTAGGTGCATCGACATTCTACTACCATTGTGTTAAGTGAGAACATCGACATTCTACTGCCATTGCGTTAAGTAAGTACATCCGCGCTCTACTGCCAATTATGTTACGTAGGTGCATAGACATTCTACTACCATTGTGTTAAGTAAGTACATCGACACACTTCTGTTTATTCTGGTCAGTCAGTACATAGACATTCAACTGCCATTGTGTTGAGTAAGTACATCCACGCTCTACTGCCCATTGTGTTCAGTCAGTACATCAACAACCTACTGCCATTGTTTTACGTAAGTACATCGACACCCTTCTGTTTATTCTGGTCAGTCAGTACATCAACATTCTACTGTCCATTGTCTTAAGTAAGTACATCCACACTCTACTGTCCATTGTGTTCAGTCAGTACATCGACATTCTACTGCCATTGTGTTACGTAAGTACATCCGCGCTCTACTGCCAATTGTGTTCAGTCAGTACATCGACATTCTACTGCCATAGATCCACGTTCTACGGCCCGTGATGTTTAGTACGAATATCGACATGCATGTCGGGTTCAGTCAGTACATCGACTCTCCGCTTCCATACCGTGGAGATGTCAAGGCTTGAGTTCCCAATGCTTAATCTAGCGCCGTTACATTTATCATGAAAATCAAATCAACACCAAAAACGTACAACGACCTTGTCTGGAAATTATAGACTCGACCATAGGGGTATTAGCCGATCGACTAAGTTGGAACAGAGCAGATGGCATTCAACCATGTGTATCAACATGGATGTTTCTGAAAGCGGTGACAAATCAGCTTACACCTTCAATTTTCATCAGTGAAAACAATGATGTCCGATGCTGTTCCCTACTCATTTTGACTGATACCATATGTTCAATAGCGTTGTCAGGTGAACAATTGACTTGCTTTGCATGACTTCGTGACGGCTGTCACGGTTGGGGCAGAATCCGTTCACCTTTTCGCAAACACTTGGTGTCCTCACTATTTTATAATGATTCAAAAACACATGCTCGTTGATTTCCCCCAAAAATTAGAAAGTGTTTTGTCGCTTTTATTTACGTACTAAATGAGATACATATACATTCTAGTTGCCGTTCAGTTGTTTGATAGATATTTGTTCTTGGCGAAGTAAACACTACCCTAACTAAGTGTGTACCTTACATGTCTAGTGACCAGACCGCTGATCAAATCAAAGTCAATGTTGGCGACCACACAACCATAGCATCAACCACGCAGCTCAACGTCAACAGCGTCACGGTCCATGAGAACTACAACACTCAAACTACAGGTAACGATCACGATCCATGAGAACTACAGCACACAAACTACAGGTAACAATCACGATCCATGAGAACTACAGCACACAAACTACAGGTAACAATCACGATCCATGAGAACTACAGCACACAAACTACAGGTAACAATCACTGCTTATGAGAGCTATAACACACACACTGGAGCTAACAATCACGGTTCATGAGAACTTCAACAATCAAACTTCAGGTAACAATTGCCGTCCAATCTAGATCTAATTCAAAGACATCTTATATCAAATAGTGTCATTATTATTTCGAAAATGCCGTTAAACACTTGATAAACAAAGATTCTAAATATACAAACTTGCTTACGTTACAGCCAATGATGTAGCGATCCTGAAGGTCGATCCCATTGACTTCAACGCCATCCCCAACACCGCTCCAGCCTGCCTCGCCACCGCCGACTTCGCTCTGACCGGACAAGACTGCACTGCAGTCGGAGTTGGAACCACTAGCTTTGGTAATCCCACACTGTCGTTATGAATGAATGAATGAATGAATGAATGAATGAATGAATACTCTTTATTTCCCCCAATGATTTGGAGAGTAGTACATACAATTACATTACATTATTTGACAACGGCAATGACAAAATACATGTAAGTACAACAGATTGGGCTGGGTAAGAAGTGATGCGTGAAACTATATTTACATGATGTGTGACATAGCTTCACAAATACAATATGGATGTTAAGTTCCATGAGCTGACATGTTTAGCCACGATACTCATGAATGTTGCCCAGCTGTCAAGTGTCATGTCTTGGACCACATCTGTAATAGCACCGAGGTATGTCAGAATCTTGACGGCATCACCAGACGTGTCCTCAAGTCTGAGATATGTTTCAAGGCTAACATTGTCAAATAGAGACTCACTAAGCACATTTCTCTGTTTCATTAGGCCATCACAGTAAAGCAATTGGTGCTTAACAATGTCATCACATTCACAATTACAGATAAGACACAGTCCAGACGTTACAGGTAATATGCCGAGCTTTACAAGAGCATACGGGGGGGGGGGGGGGGGGGGGGACTGCAGTCGGAGTTGGAACCACTAGCTTTGGTAAACCCACACTGTCGTTATGTGGTCCAGTCGGAATGTACTCAGAACCTTTGATCATCGGATCCAGGGTGGAGGTCTAAGACCTGCACCATTTCGGGCTTTCCTGCCAAATTAAACTGATACACCATATAAACGCTGTTCAAAGCGGCGTCTAGCCCCACTCACTCGCACACTCTGATATGTCGGATCACTTTACGTGCATATGGCTTCATCCTATCACAGATGAATAGCTAGGCATTCGACATGGGGACAGAGTGGACAGGACAAATTCGTTTCCTAGCCCATATCACAACTGTAACGTCTGTCCCTGGTCATCGTTGAATCTCAAAACAATAGTAACTGATGTTTTAACGCCGCTTTCTTTTTGTAGTTTTCAAGCATTATGACGACGGATGATGTCAAAGAAGGCTGGATATAATGACTTTTACTCTTGTCCGCTAGGTGGTCAGCAACCAGATAATTTCCTCCTGCAACAAGTGTCTGTTCCAACTCAGGACGGCAACACCTGCGCCAATGACAACAGCATCCTCGTCCAGATGACCGACCCCAACAACCAGATCTGTGCTGGTCAAGCGGGCAGAGATTCCTGCCAGGTCAGTATAGGCGGCACGGACACTCGCAACATTAATGAGGCTTCAAGCAGAGATAATTATGTAACGGCGTTTGTTGCTTCTATTAAGGTGAGGTGAAATTGGATTTAACGTCGCGTCCAAGATTATTGCGACGTGCATGCACGTGTGTGTGTGTGTGTGTGTGTGGCTGCGCCAGACAGGGTAACAACAAGTACCATCTTTTAACGTCTTTTGGTATGACGCGGCCGGGGATCGAACCCCGGACCTACCGCTCTCCGGGCGGACGCTCTACCATAAGACCACGGAGGCTTCTATTAAGGATTACGTCACTAGTGTTACACGTGATAGCCTGGGTATATAATCAGGTGACCGTGATGGCCTGGGTATGTTAAAAGCTGACCATGATTGCCTGGACATATATAAAGATCAATGTGACGATCTGGGCCTATATAAAGGTCACTCAGATTGCCTGGGCATATATAAAGGTCAATGTGATTGTCTGGATATATATATAAAGGTGACTGAGATTGCCAGGGTATGTATAAAGATGATTGTGATTGCCTTGGGTATGTATAAAGGTGATTGTGATTGCCTAGGTATGTATAAAGATGACTGTGATTGTCTGGGTATGTACATGTATAAATATGACCGTGATTGCCTGGGTATGTATAATGGTCAAGACTAGATATATAAAGAAGGTGCTTTGCGTGTCTTGTTATTGGCACTTCTTCAAAAACATAAATATTGGTGATGTTGAGTATATTACGGGCATTAACTAACGTGTGGTTCTTCTTCAGGGTGATTCTGGTGGTCCTCTGTACTGTCAGCAGAACGGTCAACAAGTTCTGACCGGTGTGGTGTCCTACGGTGTTAACTGCGGTCAAGCCGGCTTTCCAGGTGTCTACGCCAAGGTATCCAGCTATGCTGACTGGATTGCTGCTCGTTCTGGCTGTTAAACTTTGGACGCTGTATATGATAAATACTTACAAAATTAATTCATCATGTGTTGGTCCTTTCATTCTAAGAAAAAAGAAATACTGATGGAAATCAAAACCTCTGACACCGCCGACCGATTTTGCAGAGCACGTGTTAGATTTGCTTGAACGGCGTTGCTCATGAAACTTCACGAATTCACTCGATGGTTCAAAACTGAATTTGGCAATACGAAATGACAAAGCTATTGTTATTACTCACCCGTGAAAGGAGCACTTGCTTAATAACAATGCGCCGTTATTGAACATTGTTTAATAACATCACGTCCGTTCGGGACTATTTTGGGTATCAGGTGGTCATTCGAATGTGGTGCTTAGGTAGCATTGCGGAACTGCATTCTACAAAGTCCCTCTTTCCAGGAGGGAAATTCTACCCCCGATAGACACAACTATTATTCACTAGAATTACATAGTCACACTGCGCATGCATTTCAACCTATTTTCCTGGAATATGTCAAGTCCGGTAGTTGTTGCAGCTGCATGTAGCAGGACACATACATTGATATAGGGTATACGGACTCTTACTTCTCATTGTAATAGAGCAGGCATCGTGGGAAGATAAAGTTTTAGAGTATCACTAATAAAACAAAACATGCTGTGGAAAAATCATCACATCATTCACGGTCGCGTCTTCGTACGACCTTGTAAAAAAGAGTAGTGCTCCTTACACCACGTGGACATGTCAACCGATGCAACTTCATCGTGAATCTTTCTTGCTCCGAAATGAAACAGATTGTGTAGCTTAAAGGTAATTTCAACCAATTCCATTCATGATAAACCATCTGCTGACTCGTATAAAGGGATATTTTAGCGGTATGTTAAAATATGTTTTGGGTTGTTCTCTCCCTTGGCGCTCTTCAGTTTGAGAATCGGCGTTGTGCTACGCAACTTCAATAGCAAACCTAAGCTGGTTCCACTGTTGGTACGTGACGCTACCATATAGGTAGATAGAAACACAGTCGAAAGCCATGCCGGCTGTGAGCTTGTCGGTTCGAATAACTACAACTCCCACCTTCCGGTAGCTGTACTTTGGGTGCGTATGACTCTGCTATGATAGGCCTGCCAAGCTTTCGCTTTACCATGTTTGTTTATGTTATCACCACTTGCTATTATGCAATGATTATTGCTATTCTCGTGCAATCAATGCCGTTAATCCCACCGATAAGGGTATTGGCTTATTTGTAAAATTGTTAAGGGAGGAAGGGGGACCAATTTCACTTTGTTCACGTGATAGGTGGACCGAGGTAGCCGAGTTTTTCCTCGCTCTCCTGATGATTGCTATGATTCAATATTTCCAAGAACCTGATTGCAGTAATAATGGTGTTGAGTTGACTACCAATACCTACGGTACACGTCTGGTGACTTAGTATGGCCTATATCCTGGTGTAAAACGGCACTTACTCCACTCCCACCTATGTAACCAATGTCACATGGTCACAACACCTGTTCACCGGGTTATAGCTAAAACTGCACCTCAGCAAAACGGCACCGATTGGTGAAAACGTCACCTCGCCTCAAGCAAAAACGGCTACTATTGCCTGGCGAAAGCGGCACCTTATTTTTTTTACCTTGGTAAAATAAATGAAATTAAACTTACATGGTCACTTGCAAACACCAATAATTAGTTTACATTAGAAATTAGCCTCTACTCCAAATATATTCCAACTTAGCCTAGACGCAACTCAGCTTTTTGTGAAAACATAACATGCCTTGAAGTAAAGAAAATGAAATTAAAATCACATCGTCTCTTACAAGCACCAATAAAAGTGAAATGTTAAAACAAGTTTACATTAGAAACTAGCCCCCTACTACAATTTACTCGCCGACTCTGATTGGGAGGCGCAACTAACTTATTGTGAAAACATTATATGCTTTAAAGAAAAATATATGAAATTAAACTCACATCGTGACATTAAAACAAGTTAGCCCCCTAAGTCAGCTACTATCACAATGCTCGGTTGGAAATGGGCCGATATTATAAACGTACGCGTGTGATGTCGAAAACTGAAGAACTGTATATATGTGAACATATTTAGTTATCTGTGAACAACTGGAAAACAGGAAATAACATGTAAGTACAAAAAAATACATCAAATAACATGTAAATAAATCATATATACTACTACTCAAAGTCATCTGCTCAAATGACGCATGGACTTTGCAATCGCAAGGGATTCACATTATCAAAGCGTAAATCTGAAAGATCTCTTTTCCTGTGTCAGCGGGCATCTCATCATAAATTACTTGAAAGAAATTGGTCTGTGTAATAAATTTTAAATATGAATGTGAATAATTAAATGCTTGTTTTTAACTTTGGTGTGATGCTACTATTAACAGACATTATTGAAGGCTCTGTCTATCATAATCAATGTAACTATCATCAACCAGTGTTTTTAAGCCAACTCATTGATGAGTATTTTTTAATATTGGCTAGCATTGTGCACAACCACCAGTGGCTAAAGTGATGAGGTAAATCCTGCTGGGGTATCATGCAGGAAGCCGAGGTACTGTAAGTCCCCATGATCCCCAACGAGGTGGCCTAGCTTTGGTTACTGGTGGCCTATAGCCCGTGTTTTAAAACTTTATATGTAATATCGTTATGCTCAAATATGTTGCATGAATTGTTTCTAAATATTGTATGCTCAAATATGTTTTACAACTTGTTTTTAAACAAAACTTTGCATAAATGACTAAATTGTAAATATATTAACTTGCTCTCGTCGCTATATGGCTGAGATAATGCCGATGCGACGTTAAATTTGAACTCACTCACTCACATGACGCATGATATACATGTAAGAGGAAGGACTTCTATAATCGAATCTCAGATTGTTTATTCATTGCAAACTGAAAGGCCATAGGCCCATTGTTCAACGTATTTACAAGGTATGCATGTTTCTTCTAAATAACAATGCATGATGTATGTACAATGCAATATTTTGTAATAAAGTAATATTTGAGGTTGACATGAGTATGCAACACAAATTGATATTTGGATAAGATGTAAACTTCTTTGGAATGTACTTGTTTCTTAATTGATGATACTCATTTTCTACAACATTAAGGTTAGGAGATGAACAAATATTGTTAGATTTGGAAATATACCTTTATAGATTTTTAAATCATAATAACCTGCTCTGAACAGCGCTGGCGATACCCGAATTTTGTTGTTGTTGTAACAGATATTAGATATTTTTCGAGTATAAATTGTTGTTTGAAGAAAGAATAGGTATATGTACATTTGCTTTTTCTTAGTTTTTCTATCCACATTTGCCGAAAACAACATATAGTTCTTTGGAGTAATAATGACATAAACACCTTGCCATTTGACACACTCTGGTCCATCCATGCAAACTGGAATTTTCCAAAATATTGATTTGACGTTGAAGACCAATTACCGAATCAGAAAAAAGACAACATCGTCAGCAAAAAGGGAAAGGAATATTTCTATTAGATCTGGATATAACTGGATGCCATTTCAGATTTTGGGTTACTTTCAAGAACAAGTTCATTTATGAAGAAAGAGAACAAGTATGGGCTTATACACAACCCTGACGCACTCCCAAAGGGCAATCAAACATACTTGTAAGGTTATTACCATTGGTTCGTACACAAACTTTAACTGATTCGTGAATGGCTTTTAATGATTTTTCCATGTTTGATGCCCAACCATGTTTACCAAATAAGTGCCAGAGTTTTTTCTTTGAACGGAATCAAATGCCTTAGCGAAATCCAGAACACATGCATATAATTTACCTCCCCTTTTTGAGAGACATTTTGTAATCAAAGCTTGTAAAATGAAAACATTGTCCATTGTGGAATATCCAGCTCTAACTGTTTCCAATTGCATCTGACCAAAACGTTAATCTGCCATTAAGAATCATGGAATAAAATTTCCAAAACAACTCAGTACAGATATTCCACGATAGTTATCAACATTATCCTTATCAACCTTTTTATGCAATGGAACAATGATTGAATTTGACCATTCCGAAAGAAAAACACCTTTATTATTGAACAATACAAGTAAATGTGGAAAAAGGATATTATCTTAACATTGAAACATTTCGCTCATTACATAATCTGTTCCAGCTGCTTTATTACATTTCAACTTACGAATATTCTCTTGTATTTCCTCCATGCTGTTAGGGGCATTAAATATATCACCAGTGACAGACTTAACCCAATTAGTACCAGTATATTCATCCGTTAGTACACTTTCAGTATTCCAGGTGGGTGTATCTTCTACATAAAAGGTAGATATGTCTGGCTCTGCAATACTGAACAGGTCTTTAAAATACTCGTACCGAGTCTCTGAATTTATGTTATTCTTATCATTAGTAGTACCTGATAAAGCTTGAACTTTGCGCCAATATGTTTTGGAATCCTTCATTGAATCTATCTATTCAGATTGAGGTTTAATCTCGAAAGAATTTTTAGCATTCCTACAAAGAGCTTTATACTTATTTATAGTGCTGAAGAGACCCTTTGTCTTTATATTTACGACATACATTGAGATAATGACATTCAGCATTATACCAATCTTTAATACCTGAAAATGGTCTTACACAACGCTTCATACAATCAGCTGATCGCAATAAGATATCGGTGAATAGTTTAATCCCGTAATCAATGTATGTCAAGGCTATATGTACCGCATCCTCCAATTCTTCATTGAGAGATGCTAACATTTCAATGATTATATACCTCATTCCATGAATACTTAGTCCTACTGATGATTTGGTCACCTGAACGGACCTCTGTTGTAGCTTCTGATAGATCAATATTCGTAGGAAGATTAAATGCTATGGGGAGATGTTCTGATTCACTTCTTGAAATAATTTTAAAAGACTTAAACTTCCTTAAATAACCAACATGATCCAAAGACATAATCAATAATCGACGCAAACCAATTACAGATTTTCCAAATTTGTTAGTTTGCTGGTCAGAGGAGAACTTAGGTCTGTCAAAACCATCTGATACTAGTTTCGTTATTAAATCAT